GTGGTGTCCAACTTTATTTTGGTGTTGCAAAAGCCAGCCATGTTTCAAATGCTTGCAAAATGTATCTTTTAAGGAGCCCTGTCCAAAAAAACGGGAAACCAAGGCATCGCTGGGCAGGGATGAGAATGGACATGTTCTCCTGATCTCGCTGCCGAGGTGGATGGCTCAAAGTCCAAGGTGTCCAAACCCAAAACGTCTGAAGCTCAGGCACGGAAATGAGAAAAGGAGATCCTCAAAGAAAGGAAGTGTGGGGTGCTTGGAAGAAATGCACCAAAGGAAATGAGAATGGGCTGGGTGCTTGGAAGAAATCCACCATTTTTTCCTGATTGTGCAAGTAAGCTGTGTGTCAAGATCTTAGCCCCTCGCATCGTCTCGTACATTATGAGACACCTCCCGTGGGCCAGTGCCACACTGGGCCAGCCCGCGGAGGCTTTTCCTCTTTCTGAAAGAAGGCACCTGGCAATGCGGAAGCGAGGCTCAGGGGGGCGGCGGTTTCCACAAAAAGAGGCTAAACCTGGAAGGAGCTGAGGGTAGGTTTGGTTTGATTGAAAATTCAGGGTTGTCTTGTAAACAACATGGGCTCAGTCTTTGGGGAACCGCTGTTTAGATTACACCTACCTTTCCCTTTAAGCCCAAGCAACGGGTGCTCTACAGTTGGCGTAGCTGAACCACAAGCCGCAGCGGAAGCACACTGAATCAAGCGGGTCACTGGGAAGTCAAGCAACACTGGCCAGCACCCTCCAAGGGTGGATTTTCCATTACCCAAAATGGCTCAGAGCACTGCAGCTACAAATTGGAAAAGCCACTGGAGGGTGCTGGGGACTGAGTTGCCCTGGCAGATCTCTTTTGAAGGTCATTCACCAAACGAGTCATCAGTCTGAGTGCATTCCTTGCCCAGCAAAATCAGGTGGACAAGGGGAGGCAGGCCGGGAACTAAACACCAGGCCAAGAAAGCTGTAACACGGAAGAATTGGGGAACATCCGTAGCTGTTGGCGCAGATGGGCAAGCTGCGAAAGTCAAAACCCAGGACTAACGAACCCATAACTGAATTACTGCGGCCTGTACCACTTGAGATAATCAATGCTTCACTCTTGCCCTACGAATCCACCGGCTTGATGAATCCGATCTTGACATGGGTGGCTTTTGTGAGGTTACCCATAGGTACCCATGTACCCCGTGTTTTTTGGGGGGGTTCCCCAAAGGAACGCATCAGCATGTCCCACAATTCTGCTCATCTCATCTCCATGCTCGATCAAAAAAACAAATCGAACCAAGCCGAGGCCCAGGCTGCTTTCCACCTCCGTGGTCTTGGACTGGTGATGTCCTCAGCGCGGTCCACGACAGAAAAACAACAGCTGCTTTGTTGAGAACAGCCAAATTTTGCACTTCAATGTGCAATGTTCAAAGAGCTGGGCCGAAAAAGGCATCCAAAAGAAGAGTGCATCCCATTGCACTTGTTGATTTCTGGTGCAGGGGCCTAACTGATGCCCGCTTTGCGGGAGAAAAATAAAGCTTTGGTCTGTGGCAGATGGCATGACCGGTTTTCACGTGATCATCAATGACGCCTTTGAAGCTAAACTAAATGGCTGTGGTTGGCAACCCTGAAATGGAACCCTGGGAGACATGGACTAAAACCTGCGGTCCCCTGGTGGCTTACTTTTAACCCTTACCTAAATGATGAGTCGCCCCGGACCGGAAAGAACAAGTCACAAAACGGGGGGGGGGGGGGGAAAACAAGCAAAGCGGAGTTTTGCTGAAAAGAAAAGGCACAACCAAACGGTCCAAGAAAGAAAACACACACACACACACCAACATGCAGACTCCGTTCAGATTTCCAAGGCGAGTGGAAAGGCGACTGAAGAGTCATGCCACAAAGCATGGTCGGCCATTTGGGTGCGTCTTTTTGTGAGGGAACCCAATTTGTGGTTCTAAAGGAAAGCCAACAGGAACACCACCATTCTGCAAGTCCGCCCAAAAAAAGACACACCCTTTTGGGTGACCCATTGAATGAGTAACAAATGAGTTCCAAAATCGGATGCTACACACATTTTGCAAATGATCGAACAGGATTATTACCCGTTTTGGCCAAGGCTTCAGAACAACTAAAAAGGTTGTTCTTTTCCAGTCACTATTACCCCCCCCCCTACCACAAGGCCACATTGCCAGCAAACCTGAAGAAGTGAGGGTTGCATACCCAGCCTCACAAGGCAACTGTACAGTTGCCTATCATAATTGTGACCCAGGATTAATAAACCCATCCCATTATTAGGGAGCTGTTCCCTCCAAAAGTGATGAATCCCCACTAAAAGGGGACACCCCCCAATAAAAATCAACCAGGGGTTTATTAATCCGGGGTCAACATTATTCTCCCAAAAACCGTGCATAGGATCTATAGTCACCTTCGCTGAGCTTCTGATCCTTCACAGGGATCCTTACATTATACACCTGAACATTGCAACTTGTAAATGGTGGTTTCCAACTTTATTTTGGTGTTGAAAAAGCAACATGCTTCAAATGGGCAAAATGTATCTTTTAAGGAGCCCTGCTTCACTCGACTGGCAAAGAAACATATCAGCTTGCAAATAACATGTTTGCATGAAACTCTGAACGAAACCGGAGCCTTGTGCATAAGAAATGCCGGACTTTGTGCAAGTCCCTCTACAGCACCCCCCCCACCAAAAATCCACTTGGTGGCAGTTGATGGGTGGTGGTAGGCTGCTTCTTTGCAGTGGCCAGACGTTAAGCCAGCCAAAAAAACCCTCCTGCCACCATCTCCCATACCTCCGAGGTCGGAGCCCATGACGGATATTTTGGCCCTAGCGAGCATCGCGAGGCCGGGAAAGACCCACCATAAAATGTTGATACCTCGGGAGATGGACATAGAGCCGCGCCTTTTGTCAGCTTGTTGAAGCCCGGCGGCTTGGTGATTCACAAGGGGTTGCCCATTAACCCTCTACAAGAAGCAGGGGGTCAAATGCCCAATCCACCAATCCAAACCACCAATCAAGGGTTACCTGATTTTGGGGATCCTGGTTGAAAACCATATTTTGAGCAATACCATGCGCCCGAGAGCGTCTCATTTTTTTTTAGATATGCCCACGCGATGTTGAGCTTGAGATGGTGGGGTCTCATTGAACCGATCGGCCATTCAGACGTTTAGCGCTGCGTCAGGGATGATGAACGGGACATTGGCTTCACTTCACCTGTGAAGAGGGATACGTACGGAACCATCCCCCCTTTTCACTCGAGCACGCCCGACCAACGGTATTGCGGGAGGGGATGGTTCTCATAAGCACAAAATCCTTGTATCCTACACATAACTCTTGGGGGATTCACGACAATAATTGTACTATGCAGTGCTCGGGGAATGGGGCTCACGCGCAAAACAAGTGTTCAATGACGGTGAGAGGAAACTCAAATCAGAAGGGAAGACTTGCATGGGTGAATCATAATCATAGACCTGAAATGAGAACATGGACCCGAATGAATGATGGGGCTTGAGATCGACACAAGCCCCTTTCCCGTGGCTCACAGGTCCAATGTTCACCTGAATAAAGCCTCACTCCATGCGACCGCGGAGAAGCCACCCAGGCACGGGTCAACAGATATGTGCTTCGGCCGGCTACAAATGGTTGGATCATGTTGGTTGGGAGCGAAAGGGGACGCCATGCCCAGGTCACTTTGTAAAAAAATGACATCCAGCCTCGGTCAAAAAGGCTTCAGCGTGCCATGGCAAATGCGGCGAGTGATTGTGCCTGTGACGCTCTGAACAACATGTAATGCCGGCGCTGTGGCTGAATCAAATATTGTGCCCTCATAGTACCCAGGGATAAATGTAGCTAAAGTGGCCTAAGTTCTTGATTTGATCTGGTCAAGCTGGTTCAATGTTGGTTCCATGCACTCCATGGTCGCCAAAGGGCAAGCTGCTTCGGAGGATTTGCTTGTCTCGCAATGCTAAAACGTACTTTCTAACTGCAGATCATGGGCAGTCGTGCCAAGAATCGCAATCACCCACTGCAGACCCGGAGCGACCATAATGTATTCATGTTTCTTCTGGATGCCAAGGATACAACTGGTTCTATGACAAAGGGGCATCTGCATACTCAGCCAAACTGAGTGCCTGGCATCACATCTCTGAGTAATGACTTGTCTTGATGCACCGCATGTGACCGCGACTTAGAAGGGAAGGAATCAACTAACTCAACTACGTGCCCACACGGCAGCTTTTTGCCTAATTGATTTGTTGGAGTTATTGTTTCACTGTTTGCTTTGTCCACACCTGTCGTGCAAAAAGCCAGTAAACTTCAATTCCATTCTGTTCGTGGAAGGGTCATCAAGCAATCTGCCCAGAGACACGTGCGCAAGTCTGGGTTACTGCGGCCGCCCTTCCCCGTCACATTCGAACGCCGGCAAAAACTCCAGGGTTGACCCTGACAAGACGATCCTTGCACCGTCCAAATCTTCCAGTCAACATTTACTTCCACCTGGACCCTGGGTTGTTCTCTCAGCCCCTGGTAGAAGCTCAACTTTTAGTGGGTTAAATGGAACCCCCACGACCAAACCAACTAAAAACCCTATCATACTCATGGCCTCGTTTTACCTCCAGTCAGCTTGCCACCGACTGCCAGCCAAGACAGCTTCAAGGGCACCCACAAGGTATCCGGTATCCTCCCAAAAGTCTCAGGTCTTGAAGATGTCCCAAAATCCCTAGCCAATACAAACAGCAATGCTACTGCCTCTACTTGCCATCTCTTCCTTTCATAATCCAGGAATAGTCATTCCAACATCCAAACGAACACATCATTCAGGTTTGACAAGTCGATGAATGAAAATCCACAAGGTCCAGGAAAACCTGAAACACAATATCAACATTCTCCAGGGGGGTCCTCAGGACCATCCAAATCCGGTTTTTCAAAAACAAACGGGTCAACTTGTTATGCGTAGAGTGTATTCAAAGAGAACCACGACAGCCCCAATCCCCGCCCCCGAGGCCAGATTTTCCACGGCTTGCGGCAGGTCTGCCTCGCTTGAGCTCTCTGCAGCCTTTCCGGCATGCGGAAAGCGGATATGCCTAGCGCTGCCTTTGGCATGCGTCCGCCGAGGCCGTAGAACTTGTCTTGGTGAGTAAGTCACGAAGGGAACGCCGTGGGGCGCTGCTCATTGAACCTTCGACACAAAGGGGACAGTGGATTCCACAGCGGAACCAGCCGCGCCCACAGCTTGGCTTGACGTCCTCAGAAGCGAAACCTCCTGAGACAAGCTGCCTAGGCTGCGACGAGTAAGCTGGAGTTGCGCTGTCCGTTCACTTGGATGGTGCGGAAACTGCCGTGGCTATGGCCAGCAATGTTGACCCCGTACTACACAACACTGTCTATTCATTCTGGGGGTGTTCCCCCGCAAAAGTGGTCTGAATCCCCACTCAACCAGGGGACGCCCCCATGCTAATAAACAGGGGTTATTAATCTGGGGTCAACATGATCCTTTCTTTCACAACGCCGGGGTAGTGTAAGAGGCGTGGGGTTGCCGAATTGGTGGCCGATTTCGTCTACGTCCAAGTCCCGCAGATTCCCCATTGCAAGTCAACCCGCAAAGTAGACATTGCGAAGAACGCTTGTCAAAACATGGGAAACCACTGTTTGTTGGTTATTTTAAGGGAATCATGATTCCAGGGTTTCTTGGGTGGTGCAGGAGTTCGTCCATCCACAGTAGGTGCTCTTTTGGATAAATAGATGCATTTAAACCAGCGGAACCCATCTATTTCCAATCACACTAACCTCCAAAAAACAACCTATGACCCGAATGTCGAAACAAACATCACCTGGATCACTGATCTTTGGACGATACATCTTCATGTAAAGCCTCGATCTCAAGAGCCCAAGGGTTTTGGCCCACCTGATTGAGTTGGCTTGAGCCACTGTACTCAGGAAGCTACGAGTCAAATGTCGCCTTATTGCGTTGAAATGGCTGTGGCCAAAAACATGGGACAAAATCGCACCTTGATATACCTTGGTAAGTGGAACCAAAGACTAAAATCTGCGTAACCCTAGCCATTTAAATTTTGAGCCACACCCAAATGGGAATGAAACAACCCAATTTTTCAGAGCCCCTGAGTTTGACTTGCCATGTGAAAATGGTGTTCCATGTTAGTTGGGCATGCAACAGGATGCTGAACCCGAAAATGCCCATGCCAGGCAGCTACTATCATAAGTCTGCGTTGGGTTGCCCAGGCTCAACCTGTCACTAGCAGGAATCATGCAAAGAACCCGCGTCTGGTACCGACGCAACGATTTACACAACGCCCTGGAGGACTGCCAAGTCTGTGAGCCAAGTGGTTACCCCAGACGAACATGGCCCCTTCGGTTTGGGCACTTGACTCCATTTCAACCTGTCAGCCTAGCTGGGATCATGCTGTATCATCCTGCGTGTGTCATCCTGTGTGTGTTCAACTGGCTTGATCTGCCCGCGCACCGGATGCCAAGGCTACATGTCTGGCAAGAAGCGCGGCATTGCTGCCATGTCATTGGAGAAACGCCCCCGGCAAATTCGGTCACTGCAGCCAGCTACAGAATGCAAAGTACATGGCTGCTTCTCAAAAAAGGGACCCCGCAACGGTTGGTTTGCTTTTGCTAGTCCATTTGTATACGTATATAGTATACATACTTTGTATACGTATATATATACATACATACATATATATATATATATTATAAATCAAACAAACAAAAGAGCAGCCTGCAAGAAGCGGCGCAAGTTGAACCCCCGCTTCGGCCGAGGCTCTGGCCCAGGGAGCCGCTGCAAGGGAAAGCCGCGCCTCCAGCTGCAATGTGAGGATCTGGCCGGGAGCATTTCTAGGTCCAGTAGAGAGGTTAGAATAAGGGTGCCTATTTTCTGTAGTATATAGGGTAGAATAAGGTTAGAACAAGGCCTTTCTCAGTAATCTATTTTGGTAGGGGACATCCTGCCCCAAAAACAGAAACGGTAAAAGGGCGGGACCTAGATTTGGCCGAAATTGGCCACGCTGCGTCTTGGTTGGGGGCCCATTCTGATTGGGTATGCTACGACAACCGAACATCCGAGAATTTGGGTGCCAGTTTGAGACCACCCTTTGACCTTGCCGGTTTTTCATCTAACCAACATGGTAACCAATACTTTGCGGAGCATAGGTGTCCTTTTAGGGCAAATAGATGGCCCTGGTAGATGATCAAACCACCAGGTAAACCAGGGCCATCTATTTTTCTACCAAAACAACCAAAAAGGACACCTATGTTGCGGAGAGTTCAACACTCCGCATGCCAGAATTAGGATCGCTTCTCAAAGTTGTGGGGCCTCGGGTGGCGGAGGGTTTCCTGATTCCAGGGAGATCCAATGAGTTCCCTCTGAGACTAACCCGAAAGCAAAGGGCAAAAAATGCCCCGCGCGGCAAACATAGCTGGTGTACTTGAAAGGGAAACCCGCCTCCAAGAGAAAGTAGGTTCCAAAGGGATCCCCAGCCCCAAGAGGGATCCCCAGCCCCAGAGGGATCCCCAGCCCCAAGAAAACCAGCGCTCGACTTCGCTCAGACCCTGGCGCCTCATGCTCCAGCTTGGAGTCGCGAATGGAGTCCTGGCAAGGGCCGTAAGGCGTGGCTGCGCTTTGTGTGGGCAGCCCTTCAAAGTTGTGGTTTTCCTTTTGGTGTCCCTTTAAACCCCCAAAATCATGGTACCTTCAAAAAAGGACAGACCCGTGCACAACCCCATTCAGAGCCGATTACCATGGAGGCTTTTCATAAGTTGCTGATAAATTGGATAAGTTTCGCTCATGTTGCTTCTATGGTGTTATTAATTCCCACTGGTCCTGGGGAGGTGTAAAACCATTCAGAACCAAGAGGGTCCATCAAAGTGATACCCTCATAAAATTCATAATCTTACCCGGAATGGTTCAAAGGGAAACAGCTGGGAACATAATTTTGATGAACATGGCAATACATGGCTTTTGCTTGAACAACCTCTTTTCTTTCTCGAGACAAGATCCATCTGGTTGATCGAGTGAATGTTGCGCAAGGCTTGGAAGACCTGTTGGATTGGTTGACTATGTCTGTGTCGCCGTGTAGGATCATTGAAGCATGTTGACATTCGAGAACACGTTCTGATCTCCGACAAACGTCAAGTCATCCGAACATCAAGCGCCACCACTTAAAGAAAAAAACGAATCGTGACCCGGCGACTGCCCAAATCAACCCTCAATCAGAAGCGTCCGTCATCTTGACCCTTGGTTCTCTGGATCAAGTTTCAACAGGGGAGTCATCAAAAATATGGCCCCGTGTTCAAGGCCAGTGCCGCCTTGTGCCGCGTTTAAAGGGCATCCCAATTTTGGACAACCTCTCGTGACCTCGACTGACACGCGTTCGGACCCCAAACACGAGGCATGTCCATAGGTGGATACGATATCGGGAGTTGGATTCCACAGATCTGGAAACACCTTTGCGTATATAAGCATATACCTGAAACCTCAACAGCAGTGTTTTTCAAAAACTATATGTTTTTGTTGTTGTTTTTGTTTTTATCTTGAAATAGACAACCATGCCAGCAGGCCTCGAACGCCGTTCTTACTAATATATATATATATATGTATATGTATATATGTATTAATGTATATATATATATATACATGTACACACATGTGTCAAAATCGGAATTTGGGCCCAACAAATGTGTGTATGTGTGTGCTCGTGTTCCTCTTGGATTCCCTTAAACACCCCCAAACTGTAAGTCAGCTCACCAGCCCTTGAAATGTAGTGTTTCATCACGTTCCCTTAGTTCTGATATAACACGTTGCGGACGCTTCTAATGTGACCGAAAGCAGCGGACATGAGAAGAGCAAGTGGGTCAAAAAGGGACGACCCGCCTCGGGGCTTCGGCTGAAGCTGAGAACGGGGCGCCTGCCTGCTCCCGACTGGGGTTTCAGGTGGCTGTGGGTCAAAAATATGTACCCAAAAATCCCAAAATGGCTTGCCCTGGTAAATGGAAAGGACTAAAACATGCGGTCCATATCCTGGTGGCCTGGTGGCTCAATTTTGACCCACACCCAGGTGTCACCTCCCAGTGGGCCATGACCAAACCATGCTCAGGCGCCTTAAGCAAGGCCACAGGGCCGCGAGGCCGCGGATGCTTCAGCAGCAGAGCCTGGCTCCTGGCATATTGGGTGTGGGTCAAAGACAGGTATCTAACGTGGAACCCTGGTACATGGAGCCAAGGTGGTTTCACTTTGACCCATACCCATATAGTACCTATGGATGTGGCCTCAGCAGGCCAGGAGCCAGGACTCTGGAAGCTTTGGACAAGCCAGGAAAGCAGCTAACGACAAGCGATCGCGCTGTGCTGAAAAAATTGCGACGCTGCCCTTTACTGCGCGCTGGCCTTTGTCAGTCACGACTGCTCCACTTGGAAGGCCTGGTGGTCTCCATGGAGCAGCTCCAGCTGAAAGAAGTGCCCGGTGCAAACCAGGGTTGGGCCAATAAGGCTCAAAGAAGCAGACCCTAGCCGCCCTATCCCCCTCACAAGAGGTATCCAAAGGAGGTTGTTTAGGTGTTACCACATTCTTTAAACAAGGGGCTGGCCCAACCCTGCCTTTTGACGTCGCCACGTTTGGCATGGCCTCCTCCCTGTTCCCTGTCCATCGAAATGGTACTTCCCGTGTCGGGCGTATGTTGCTGGCACGCAAGTGCAGGGGCACCAGGAAGCTGCGAATGGGATCCAACCCAAGTTTGTTAAAACACTCATCTCCCTCGTCTCATACTTCCTTGCAGATGCCTGAGTCACATTCGCCACCTCGAGCCGAGAACTTCCCAGCCTGTTCCAGCAGGTACGACCACTGCTGAACATCCGCCTCGTCTGGTCCAGCATCCATCAGCCTCGAAACTTTGGCTGCTCCCCAGGAAGCAGACATGACACTTAAAAGAATATGGAAGAGGCACCACCCCCGTTCTAAAGCAAAATCTCCTGGCCTCCAAATGTGTCTTGAAAGTGAATAGTCTACACATTGCGTTGTTCTTCCATACTTTCAGTCACAACAAGGTCCAACACAATTTGCGCGTAACCCGACTTCGGCTAATTATCTTCCGCAGGATGCAGTTTAGCCTCGCGTGGTGCCCATTCACGTATTCCCTGGAAGCAAAACACACGGCAGCAGTGTTTGCCAAAGCGGACGCCTCTTTTGGACAGGGGGCACTGGAGTTCCTCTTCGAAAGTTGCAATCGACTAGAGGTGTCCATCCAACCCGTTTGATTCCGCGCTAGGTGGGAGAGTCTAAAGGAAAATCGCAAGAAACACCAGCCAACTCTGGGTTTCGAATCGAACAACTCACACATTGATATAGAAGCTATAAGAAAAATATACAATTATAATGAGAGGCAGTGATCGCCACACGACCGGCGCATGGGTGGGCAAAAACATGTGCCTGGCTCATGAGAGCATGGTTCCCGCATGAACCGACTCACAATGCTTATCCAAACAAGAATTACCCTCAACATACCAAGTAAAAGGGGGCGATTTGACCACAGCACATATTTGCCCACAATGCGTCCCGGGGTTTGGCGTCTCGGTTTGATGTGAAATCCGGTTCCCACAAAACATCTTTTCGGAGAGGCCCGAGCCATCTGGCTTTGCTTCAGAAAGCTGGACTCCTTTTGGCCTCCCTTGAACAAGAAACAAAAACATGCCGGCCCTCCATAAAAGACATTCATCCCTGGCCCTCTTGTAGGGGCTCCTGCAAGCTTGCGCCAAATCAGAACGTGCACAGGAACAAACGATCTGCTGTGATCTCGTTCTCAACGTCCAAGCTCATTCTGTGTGCCGATTTTACGAAGACATGTAGATATCCGATGAGGACAGGCTCTAATGTTCTACATTGTCCGGACCCGTCGGCATCACTTGAGAGTTATTGGGAATATGATTATGCTCCGATACTACGGCGTTGGAGGTTGCCCAAATCAGCCCCAGCAAGCCAGTGCACCCACATCCTCACGCCAAAACCGTCCAGCACCCTTCGGAATGCATTCACTTTCTGCATCGTTTGCAGAGAATAATCCAAATTTCAGCACTCTCATCACCCAGAAGCCAACTTCAGGACATGATCCTACCACTCGCTTTTTGGCCCTTTGTTCCCGGATCGTTGCAAGTTCCAAAACCCCAGGTCAAGTGAGGACCGACACTTCTGCACTTGTCGACACGTGTTTCCACCAAGGTGGTTGTCACAAAACAAAGATCTATTCTGAATGGGCCTCAGGATGACCCTGTGACAAACAAGAAATCACCACACCAAAAGTGGCCAGGCAGCTCAAGCTGCTGACACTCGCGCATCCGGAACTAGGCTTCGTGGCATCTTCACGATGGCCGGGGTCTTGAAGGCGTAATACAACGCCTCATCTGGGATCCATCAAGTTCGTCGTCTCGATTTTCGCTTGTGGCCAGACTCTCAATGGGTTCAGCCCTGAGGTTGCAGGTGGCTAGGTTTGGTATCTGGCAAACAACATTTGGATATCATGTCGTCTGAGAGCCGTCTTTATGTGACAATACACTTTTCTGGGATCTTCAAACCGGTATGATCCCTTTCCCAATCCGCAATTCGTAGCGGGCCACAAGGGAAACCACACAACCCTGTTTCCTCAAGGATGAATTCACGTTGAAAACCCCAGCTTTCGTTGTTTCACTGACTATTTAAAATCCGTTCTCTCGCTACCCCTCGCCCATTCCGGTGGCATGCTCCAAGAGTCCAGCGGGCTTGCTAGACCGGTCCTTGCCATTGACCTCCGCCCGAGCCGCCAGCAATGCAGCCACAACCTGGCGTCCGGCAGAAGTTGTCCATCCGTTTTTGCGTAGTTGATCCTGTGCATGGACACAATCCATGGTTGAACCCATTGCTTGTTGGTATTTACAGGGAATCATAAAAAGCCAGGGTTTCTTAGGTGGTGCAGGATTTCGTCCATCCACAGTAGGAACCCATTTTTCTGGGATCCGATAGAGCTCCGATTCTTTTTTCAACCCATTCCCAACATGCTTGAATCAGGCAGCTGCAGTGCCGTGAATGAACGCGTGGTTGTTCTCCGTATTTGGACGGCGGGTACCTACTACAATGATTCTTGCAATATTGTGGTGAACAAATGGGTTACATAAAGTTCCTACTCGCGCAGTCCATGACAGGGCTCCCATGCTGCGTGAAGCTTCAACACGTGTGTGCAAGACATCAACCGACGCTGAATGTTCACGAATTCAGAGAAAAGCCCATAGATCACACGGGGCTTCAGTCTTCCAACGGGGCCAGGCTTGCCACTTATCCCAAGATCCCGAAAACAAGGCCCCTCGTTATAATATGCGCACTTGCAATGTTTCGAGAGGCAAAAATAACGTTGCCTGGAAGCATGGCTATTGAGTGAAAGTAGATGGGACGACCTTCTCAAATTTTGGCGGACTTTTCCCTACCAACAAACATGGTTCCACAGTACTCTCACTGCCCCCAGCCCACGTCTCCGCTGGCCTGCTCGCTGTTCTTGATGCATGCCTGGGGCGTTCCAAAGCGACAAAACTATCAGCTGGGCAGAAGTTGAGATATTCACTTGCCCCATGTTGGTTTCACAACCCCCTTTCCTTTCACAACTAAAGATAATTGCGCTTCCTGGAGTCTCAATGACCCCTAAAAAATGGCTGGTCATGACCCAAAATCAAGGGGTCATGACCAACCATCTTTTGTTTGGTCAGAAGGAGACTCCACTGTTTTGACTGGAAACACAGGATATCCGAGTCAAAGACCTTCATGACTTGCTGTGAGCTGTGCATTGGGCAGTGAGCTGTGCATTGGTCGGCGATGAAAGCAGCCATGAAACTTGCACATTCAGAAATGGCCATGGGCTTTTCAAACGCCAAATCGGTGAGTCGTACCCCCAGTGAACGGGAACATCCCAATCCAAGCACTAAAATAGGTAACCTAAAATGGGTGGTGAATTCCCGTCTCTTCCAGTTGCAAATCATCCGGGCAAAAAAACTGTGATCAATCGACGATTTATCAAAACGAGAATATCTGACACGGATGCCACCAAGTACGGCTGGGGACCTCCGGTTTCGGCTATCCTCCCCCCGACTTTCCGGCTTTCTGCTTTTCTCCCCGGTCCCACCCGGTCACCGCCCGGTCACCGCCCGGTCACCGCCCGGCCACCGCCCGGTCACCGCCCCATTCGACCCGATACCCGAGTCGCCTGCATGAGGGCGGTGCGGCCCATCTCATTCTTCGCCTCCAGGTCTGTGCCCTGAGGCCATTTCCGTGGCTTCCGCAGGGCTGTTGGGAGGCCCAGATCTCCGGAGAAGAACCGAAGCCCTTTTTGTTGGTGTGATTGAAAGGGGGACACCCTGGCCGAAAAAAAGGGAGAAAACGGGCGGAATCCAGGGGCGGCAGAGTTTGGGTGCGGAAGTGGTGGGGCTCCTTGGTTTTGCCTGAACTTAACCCTACTTCGAATTTCCCAAACGAGTGGATGGCGGAAACAGCGCCCGAACTGTTGACTCACCACCAAATACATGAGCACATGGTCTTCCCAACAAGTCTAAAGTACCAACCTGAATTCGCGCTTCCGACAGTGGATGGTCCAGAAATAGCTCCCGAACGTGTTGATGCTCCGCTCAAATGGTCCAAGCGCAACAATTGGCTCAAGTCCCACAACTCCGGAAGCGAGTAAGGGTAGCCTCAGCAGAATCACACCCGGATGGCCATGGGTCAAAAGCCAAATCGGTTAGCCCGCAGTGAATGGGACCCAATCCAACCACTAAAATAGGTTCTAAAATGGATGGTGAATTCACCTACCCCAAAAATGCGATCCCATTGGTTTTGACCCACACCCAAATGACTGGAACCTTACTGAAACCTGTGCCCATCGAATACAAAAAGGGACTTCTGGTGCCATCTTGTGATGCCTTCAAACGTGCTGGGGCTCGGAAGCCAAAAAGCTAGCGATCGAACCCAACCCTCTGTGTGCATCGGTCCCAGACCAAGTCTTGCGCCGTTTTGTGTGAGGGGGGTAGGGAGCAAGTGACCGGGGTCCAAAATCCGGGTAAGCTGTAACGCTAGTCGCAGAAGCTTCATCCATAACTTCATTGGTTCAGATGCTGGTCGAACAAAAAGAGAACAACAAGCGCAAACAAACCCACAAAACAGAATAACAACCCAAACGAACTGAACAAGATAACATCAACGTCCTAAACACAAACTCAGAAGGAGACGAAGGGTGTGGCGCAGCACAAAAACAAACAAAATGCTGCTGCTTCGATTCAACTCCCTTTTCAATCCATGTGTTTAAACATCCTCCTTTGGGTTCCCCTTGAGACATGACTAGGACGCGCTGGTTGTTTAACCTAATCTGGTTCTGTGTCAAAATTAAACTTCAAACCCACCTGAAAAGGTACCTCCCAAAAACCACCGCCCCGCTTAACAAGACATTAGAAATGATGGGAAAACTCAAAAACATGTGAAAAACAAAAATGGCAATCTTCCATTTTGTTAAGACCCCTGGAACAAAATTATTTCCAGTAGTCATAGATTCCATTCACAAAAATATTGATTTCAGCCAATGGAAGCAGTTAAGCCAAGTCTGGCCGGGGAAATGGTTTGAACCAACGGTTCCTGTCGGCTTTCCTGCTGGATGAGGTACAGCGCCAGCTCCTGCAACTGGGCGCGGACTGCCAGATGCAGTGCCTGGAAGCCGCTGCCAGTGGCCCCGAAATGCTTTGGACGAGCTGGATTACCACCTAGGTCCTCCAGACTTGAGAGGTTAGAATAAGTTGGTACCCGATTCTTTTCAGTTTTGTCTATTTTAGTAGGGGAACCCTCCCAACTAAAAAAAAAAAAAAGTTGTAAAAGGGCACTACTGGGGGACCTAGCCACACAAGAAACAGGGCTGCTACCCAGCTTGTGGATCAGTATGCATGAGATATTTTTGCAGAGCAACACAGAACCCACACTCTCAGCCCTGCCAAGAGTAAACGAGAGCAACAAGGTCATCTCGTGTCCTTAGGAATTAGACTTGTATGTTCGTGCCAGAGTCTTCGTGTCTCTCTGTGCGCGCATATCTCGCTCTGGCTTTCTCTCTGTGATTATGACTCAGGACTGAATTGTAAAGACCCCAAACTCAAGGGGTTTGGGGAAAAGGGTTCCAAATAAGGCCTTCAACACAAAGCACAATGTCCCACTTGTTCCCCAGCCCTGATCAAACAAACATCGAAGCCTCGTTGGTCGAACCCACCAAACAAAATTCGCAGATGTCTGCTGTTTGCCTTGAGGCAACACACTGTGTGAAGGTCACCTGGCGGTTTGTTGCCCCTATCTTAAAACAGGGAGCATAACGAAGTGGTTGTTGTGATTGCTTCTTTATTCCGGGTGCCCGTTTCGGGGCGGGTTAAAAAAAAAGGATCACTTTTGGGGCCTCCTGTTTTCTGAATGCCTCTATGCCAAAAGCTTGGTCGTTTAGTAAAGATTTGTTTTTGCGTTTTTTGATTCTGAAGGGAAACCCACTAACAACCAAAGAAGCAGCAAACGCACCGCTAGAGATGCGGGCGAACTGTGTGACTGTACTTCCCCATTTCACGGGATTCTTTATTCAGAAAGTTGGACAAACCCAGAGGATTGTTAGTGGTTTCTGAACCGAACGATGGGTGAAATGAGGGGATCAACCTTTAGAAAGTTGCCCCAAACTGATCGGGTTCCAATTCTTCCCTTCGTTCAAGTTCTGTTGTTGTCAGGAGGAGCTATGGAACCGCCACGCGTCACGCCAGAATCGCGGCCAAACGGCGTTGCTGCCACGCTCGAAGAGCAGCCTGCGATGCTTAAACCCAAGGGCGGGTCATGTCGCCCAAAAAGGGAAGTTCTGGGTTTAAGTCTAGTCAACAAATGATAATGGACACCTTGTTTCGTGTTTGTAGCCCCCTCTGTTGGAAACGCCTGAGCACAGGACAGACAGGCTTCGAGGAGGTCTGACCCTGCAAATTGTGCTGACTCAAGCTTTCCCTGAACAATGACAACATGTGATAAAATGACAGTTCGGTTCAAGTCTTCAGAAAAATGGAACACGCCATTCTTGAGCTGCAACAGGACGCACTACCAGTACATGCCAGGTTCTAAATCGCAGACATGTGCTCAAGATGTAAAAGCGCGGGAGCCAAACCAAACCAGCATCCACGGAGGTTCATACATGCTATGTGGATGTTACAGGTGGAATTGGCCGTGAGATAAGTTTGGATGTGAACCGCTCACAAGCTCCTTGCTCCGAACTAAACCTTCTGGCAATCAATCGCTCTGCAATGCACACCAGTGAGATGTGCCGCTGGCAGAAGCCACAACAGTGACACAGTGAACTGGCGGAATGCAACACGCATTCCCTGTAGAAGCCATGGTGGGGCCAACGCGATGCCCAAAACGGGGCCGTTCCTTTTGCTTATTTGCTTCCCTTCAAAGCCACCCAACAGGGCTGAAATCACAACACGAAACGGCGTAGCCATGTGAATCAACGGGCGAACCCTGGCTCAGAGGCTGCAGCGCTCTTGCATCTGCAGGGAGGACCAACACAATGGAAACGGAGGCAGTCGAGGCTCCCGCAAAAAACTCGTCGGGATGTTTTTCTCACTTGAGCGGCCCAATTCTGAACTGGGCCGGCTCCAACTCGCCTTCGAGCTATCCAACGCCAGAAAAGCTTCTTGCAACCAACCCTGGAAATATAACTGAGGTAGTTGAGTCACTCGAAGAAAGCTGCCTTATTGCCCTTGCCTGAGCACAAACCCGCATGTCACTACTTGCAAGGATCATCGTCCCATCTGGAGTGGTTATTTAAGAGGGGTTGATGTTGTAAGGGGGGCAGAACAGGACCCTGAAAAGGGGGAGGGCTCCGAAACAACATTTGATGTGTATGCAATGGAGTTCCTTGCAACGCGTTTTTCAGGGCAAATAGATGGCCTGGTAGATGATTAAACCACCAGGTAAACCGGGGCCATCTATTGTTCTACCACAACAACCAAAAAGGACACCTACGGGTACAAGCCGCCCTCAAAACCTCGCGCCTGCCCTCGGCGTCGTGGCCGGCGCCCTGATCCAGAAGATCTCGAGCCTCCTGGTACGATGAATTGGCGGAGTTCGACCCAAGTTGAATTTGATCTGATCGGATACAAGGGCCGAAAAATATTCAACTTTGGCTGTGGAGTCCTAGACACCCAAAAACCAAATCTTGGCATGTTGAACAGAGAGCAATGAATGTGCAATTATGCAATTGTGTAGCTGATTTCACAGGATGCGATTGAAGAAAACTGTCTTTCCCAGAGGTGATATCTAAAACCACAAAAAAAAAGCATAGTACGCTCTGTGGCCAGTGGTTTTTGCAGCACCTTCAATAACCGGTCTTTCCCAAGTTTGTTTCTCACAAATAAGTCCAAACTCATGCCTGAAAAGGCTGGCTTGATCCGTTTGAGTTGAACCGACTGCGGATAGGTACCCACCACGGAACGTGCGGCGCGCGTGTGAGCTTCCACTTTCGATAGGAACACTGAGCATGTCAACGGCACCTTTCTCTGCGGCATCCTGAAAGTACTTTCCAAACAGGTCCAGAACCTTGCTCCAAAGCCAACTGCCCACTCGCAACCACCGCTGGGTCCACAGTGGAAAGTGTGCCGTTTCTGCGAACGAACGCCCCATTCAGCGGCGGGTCATGGCGGGAATCCCCCTTCCCGTTCATGCAAAACAATCTTGGGGCCCGCAAAAAAAGAAGAAGAAGAAGAAGAAGAAAGGATCTCGAGCTACAGGTGCTTCCAGGAATGCTCACCATGCACACAAATCGCACATACTCTATGTGATGATCGGGGGCCAACCCCTTCGAGCCTAGCCCAGCACCTGCCCACCCGTTGCGTGTTGGTGTGGTCCTCCAGCAATAAAGTCACATGAGCCTCACTTTGCTTCTTGGATAGCTTCCAAGTACCAGGCCCCATCCAAAGAAACATAAAAACAAAAAAGCCACCAAAGACTACTTGCTGGTGCTCAGTAGGGAATGTGGCAATGAATTCTCTTAAAGGAAGCCACCAATTGGATGGTTGTTGTTTGTTTTTCGTTTCTCATTCGCTACCTGTCGCACCAGCAAAGGACTAACAATGTATTTGATAGCCGCTCTCGAAGAACGGGGTGGGGTCGGAGTTCGTCTGCCGGGCGCCTTCTGCCTCCCAGACTCCACCGCCTGCGCGAACTCTTTGAAGAGCAGCCGATAGTCCGACTCCTCCAGACTCTTGCTGATGGCTACTGTAGTATTGCTGGGAGTCTGGGAGGGAAAAGAGGACTTTTGGTGAATCGCTGCGCTGGCATTAGCTCGCTTCTACGGGGTTTTGGGTCATGACAACTGACTAGTAACCCTCCCCCCCTCCCCCCGCCCCCTTTCAAGGTTGACAACAAATTGGACAAGTGCCCAAAACTGATATGTTTTTGTGGAGGACCCCCCTGATTAATCTGGAGCCGCTGACATGATTTTGCTTCTCCGTAACGGTCATGTCCCTTTCAAGCGCTATACACGTCTAGTGTTAAAGGGAGTCCGGGCACTGCTCCTTTTTACAGCTTCCTAACATGTGTATTTGCTCCATCGGCAGTTAGGCTTCGGGAAGCACACCGGAATTCGGTTCATGGGCAAACTCAGCGAGTTTCTCAGCGAGTCAACGGGGGGTCTTCGGAAGGAAGCCTGTGACACAGGGAGAGAAAGCGAGAGCAGACAAGAGGCACAAAGACTCCGGCACGAGTTAGACGCGAGTTTAACCTCGATCAAAGGATACCAAACGACCTTGTGGCACTCGTCTAGCCTTGGCAGGGCTCAGTGTGTGGGTGCTGTGTTACTCTGCAAAATAAAAAATACAGCAAAAAGATCCACGTATGGCAAATCAAGCTAGTCCAGAGCATTTCCACCATGGTTCAAGAATGCGTCGACCGATCCGGATCGCGAGTCATTTGCATAGATTCTCTGGACTTCCAAAAGCACGAAGCTCTCTCGGTTTAACGTTCAAGCTCAACTAGGTCCTCCAGTAGAGAGGGTTAGAATAAGGGAACCCTTTTCTTCTGTAGTCTCTCAATTTTAAGAGGGAACCCTCCCCCCAAAAAGGCTAAAGGGCACTGGGGGACCTAGTCAAATTGATTGAAAAACCAGCAAACGCTGCTTGAGGCAGTCCCACGCAACGAGCCACGCGTTTGCACGAGGTTGAAGCCCCAAAGCGGGAACTGAGCTACAGCCAAAGCACTCCGGAGCACAACCTCCACCCGAGTGACCGGGTTTTTTGTTTTCCCCCGTTGTTGTGATTTTTTGGTCTTCCAGAAGGTAACCAAAGGAATAGATATCGTCACTTCCTGAGGGATTGGCCAACAAAAGTCGAAATGTTGCTTACCACTCATCACCTTCCTCCCCCTATTGTCAAAGCCAGCCCTACTAATATGTTGTTCTCGCTGGCACAGTCCAAAAACGATCCCGTGACTGACCTGCAACACTAAAGTGCTCCTGGCAATTCCACTAAACTTCGGAAAATACACGGGTCCCCCACCTGTTGGATGGATGAAACAGAAACAAACAATCCCACTGAACTTCGGAAAATACACAGGTCTCCCAGCTGTTGGACGGATAAAATGGAAGCAACAATTTTACTGAACTTCGGAAAATACACGGGTTCCCAAGATGTGATTCGGGGTACTTTAAGCACATCCCTCTTTTACTTGCAAATCCAAATTGTAGCTTTAAGTTCGCCTTTCAAACTTCAATTGACAGATCCAAAGCAAATCCTATAAGTTCATTTCAACCCTTGCTCGGCAGAATACGATGTCGACGGTTCTTGCGCCCTTGCGCCCGCCGGGGACGGGACCCCGTTTGGACGAGGTCCTTCCAACTCATCCTGTCAGAGCCAGGCCCGCCTGACCCGGGGTCTTCACCACAAAGACCTCCAGCTCGCTGCCGAAGCTCGACAGCAGCGAGGTGTCCTGGAGAGCCAGCGAGATAGCGAGCAAGAAACTCATTCCATGTAATTGCCATATAGGTCCATTAAGAGTGTGTCTTTTTCAGCCTCCAAAAATGAGGATTTCCGGCTTTAACACCACCACAAAAGGGGTACCAACTCTAAAAAGGACAGGCCGATAAGTTGGTGTTTCAATTGAAAAGGACAACACCAAGGAACTATATTTTGGGGTTCCCTCAAGTTCCACACATGCGCAACCCCCTGGCATGATTCCCTCGCTAATTCATCATGTGAACTTACCCATCCTGAAGTCTCATTCTTTGGTAACGAAGAAGTCAGAAGCGTCGCCCGATGCTTTGGCTACAACCGAAGAAGACCCTGATTCAGTCTTCGGCCCATCTAACCTTCCATTTGGTTAAGACCCCTGGAAAAACTAAAAAAGGTCCAGTAGTGATAGATCCCCTTTAAAACCAACAGGGGAAATCAAAAATATTCATTTCAGCCACTGGAGGTAACATCGGACTCGGACTCGGCGCTGGCGCGCTAAACCCCCCCCCGAGCGCCTGCAGGGTGTCGCCCTGGTGCACCAGCCGGAGGGTGGCGTGGGGAGCTTTCAGCGATTTCGCCACACGTCTCCGCAACGCGGACACCTGGAATCGAGAAGGGGGGTGGGGGGTGGGGGTGGGGGTGGGGGTGGGGTGGGGGTGGGCGGGTTAGGGGGGGCAAGCTCCAGGATGAAGGGCCCTTTGTGGGGATTCTTCTGACTCCAGGTTGGTGAAATATAGTAAGATTCCAACGGACATGTTTCTTCCAGACTCCCCCTGATGACGAATTGGGTGAACGCAGATGCCACAACCTCCCCGCTTGGCTTTCATCCTCTTTAAGGACCAGGGAGTTGTGCCAGCAAAAATTGCCCGCTGAGTCCTGGTTGTGGACCAAAAAACGGCTAAGAGCTGCTTCAAAGCTTTGAAGTGATAACGGTGGCATGGGAATCAGCCGGTTTTGTCTCACGGCAACAAACACTTTATACCCTACCAGTACCTACTCACTTGCCCTGCCCCCCTCCCCTGGCCAATTTAGTGAACCCAAAGCTCGGTCTGTTTTGGAAGTGCCTACCACCCTCCCCCCCCCCACCACCCCACCACCCCCCAAGCCACCTCGTTTCCCCAAGCTCACATCGCCATAGCTGGTGCAAAGGTTGTACTTGGCCCTAGCACCCAGGGTCAAAAAAAAGTCACGCCGGGCCTGACGTTGACCACCGATTCCGCCAGAGGGCAACTCCAGATTCCATGGCAGCTGTGAGGGTGCCTTTAAGTATCGTGTTTTCAATTCATGACCCTTGGATTCGATGGTCGTGATTCATATGGAAAGGTCCCCTCAAAAGCACGTCAATGAAAGCCCTAATATGGGTGCGTCGTTTTTTGTTGGCACCCTTTTCTTTGGGCTTTGAAGGGAAACCACTCGGAAACCAAAATCCATTTTGGGACGTCCAACCTAAACTGGCTTTTAGAGCTCGGGTGTGTCTTCTTTGAGGTTGGTGGCCTTCGTTTTGGCGTCCCAGTAAAGCCAAGGGAAAAAAACAGGCTCCCTCAACAAAAGAGAGACTTTTCAGGATTTGGACCGCCCCCAAATGGCTTTCCTTTTGGCTTCCCTTGAAAGCCACCCACAAAAACCGGTTCCCTCAAAAAAAAAAAATCAAAGAGGAGACGCCCCTCCCGTTTCACCTTTCCCGAGACCTTCCCTTCGGAGCACCTGCTCGTGGCCCGGCAGGCGGAACTCCAACTCCCGGCCGCCCAGCGTCCGCGCCAGGACCAGCACCTCCGGCTCTGCCTGCGATTCGAATCGAGTCCCTTCGATTAGGCGAAGGGGGGGGGGGGGGGCAGGGGGGTGCACGTCTTGCTTGGCCCAAAGAAACGTCACCAAACGTTTCTGGTTACCACTAAAATTATGGTCTTCTCAAAACGTCACGGAGGAAGTGGTACGTGAACCCGGGGTCGACATTAGCCCTGACACAAATCAGTCCCCCTCAGGGGTGGTTGCAAAGTAGACTCCAAGTGTCTGCCACAAGATATGGGTGGGCAGAGGGGTGGGAAGTCAGACCCTCCAAAAGGTGCGCTTGAATCTTTTTCATGACACCAGAAAAATCACGGCCTGGGCCGCAACGGCTCCCGAAAAGCCACCCAGAAAGCAGTCAGGAGGTGCGCGAGGGATTCCGAAAAAAAAAAAGAGCGCGCAAGGGAATCGTTGGGCATGGGCATGGGTCGAGGTGTTTAACCACCGGAAAGAAACCGCAGCTTGATTCGTCCTTGTTTCCATTTAGGGTCCACAAAACATGTGGAGTTGCCTGATTTTTCACAACCACACTCATATGGCTTTCTCTGCCCTGGCTAGTTGGATCACTTGCAATGCTACGCGCAACCGTAAGAGGAAACGCCACAGGTCGTGCCTTTGCGTTTTCTGGGGGAACTCACGTATGTTATTCAAAGGGATATTTCGTTCGCAGAGCCATACTGCTGTGCGAATCAAAAATCGGGGACTTTGCTCCCCCAAAACGCCACCCAAAACGGGTACCCTCAAAAAGGGACAGACCCATATACAGTAGGGTAGGAGTCACTAAGCTCTCCAAACCCCAAAACAGTCCTGTTTGCCACCCAGCAAATCTCGTGGAAGTCTCTTAGGAATGTCCCTGGAGACGGATCCGCGCGTTGCTGATGGCTCACGAATAAGTCGCGGGACCGTGAGTTTCGCTCAAGTGGTCGACCCGCACAAGCAGCGTTTGGTTTACCGAGTCGAGCGTCATGCCTATAGGTGGAGTCCTTTCAGGGCAAATACATGGCCCTGGGTAGATGATTAAACCACCAGGTAAACCAGGAATCGCCATCTATTTTTTCCACCAAAACAACCAAAAAGGACACCTATGGTCATGCCAAGCTTAGGATGGACACGGCCTTTTTGCGCCGAGCCTTTCGCCAGCAAACCCACAGCGAAACGACCATGCCCTATACCGAAATCCCGCAACACCTGCCTTTACCCATGCCCAAAATCCCAAGTACTGTCCAAAACCCAGAGGTTGGGGGGTGCTGGTACCAAAAGCCTCCCAAGACCACCATACCATAAAGCACCACAAGACCAACACGAGGTTCCCTCCACCTCCATTTGCTTAAGGCCCCAGGAAAAAACATAAAACATATTTCCTGTGGTGATTAATTCTCACTAAACCAACCAGGGGAAAAAACTATCACCCTTTCCGCAATTGGAAGATCCATGCCAGTGAGAACATGTCAGTTCGCGACCATAGACCATGGGGTGCCTGAGCCTTGGCATCCGTGCCCTCCATAGCACCAGGAGCGCACCCCAAGCGAATCGACCGGAAGGCTTCGCCCAGCTTGAGTTCCCATTTCTTGAGGTCTTCACTTCTCCAGTCTGGCGACCTGTCTTTAGCTCTGAGAAAAACCGGAGCTTCGTAGAAGCCCCAGCTACCTCATCTCCTTCAAGGCTCTCAGCTTTCTTTCTTGAGTAGCTTCCATTAGCTGAAGGTGCCTGTAGCATAGGTCGACCGCACACAGCAAGGATGTACTTCAACCTCACTCACCAGCCAAGATGTACCAGCCATTCTCCTTTTGAACCATCAACTTGACTTTCAACAAAAACTGGAACGCATCTCGGTTGCTTTCTGCTCCCCTGCTACAAGTTTAACTTTTAGTGGTTTCATGAAAAACCCATCAGTTGGCAAAAAGTTAAAGTCCTAACATCCCTTGGCAAAATGCACCAAAGGCATAATCTGCGTTCTTGAACCATGACGGCCACAGCCCTGTGTGCAAGTTGTGAGCTTGAGCCCGTGCGGAAAGAACAGGCATGGGACGCCAGCAACATGCAACGAAGCTTGCTTGACATTTCAACACCCTTGGGCAAATTTTCAGACTTCACAAATAACGAGAAACAAGCAGAAGAAATAAAAGAAAAAAAGAAGAAAACAGAACAAACAAAAAGGCAAGCAAGGGACCTTCATCATGATTGATTCATCCGGATTGAGGTCGCTTTACCCGAAGCCGAATCGGTTTCAGGGTGAGGCGAAATGTGATTTATCAAACGGCCCTTGGCCACAGGTTCCCAGAAGATTTGACAACTCTCGCGAGGATTCAGGTGATTGATGCCTTCAAGACTTAGACGAAACGAGCCTCGTGCTTGGCGGAAAAGCGCTACCGAGCTCCCTGGCCCTCTTTTCCGCGCGCGCGAACTTTGGGGATCCGCTGGCCCAAAAAACCCGCCCCTGTCGCCCGCCCAACCGCCTCTCCCACGGGCGGCTGGCCGGTTGCAATTGAAAAAGCGAAAAACGGATGATGTCCAGGAAGCAAAGGGCCGGTCTTTGGTGTGGGCAAAACTGCTCCACTTGTTGAGTTGCCGTAGTCCGCCAGAATTCCCCAGGGTTGTTGCAAGGTTCTATCGCCCAACACGCCCCTGGACTGCTTCGGGCTGGAGAAAGCTCCGACATGAAACTCAACTGAGCTGTTTCTGCAGCTTCAGCCAAGCGAGAAGGAATCCGGACTCGGCTCGCCAGGCTCCACATGTGTGGCCGGTGTGACTCAATCCACTGGCGTTTCCCAACTTGGAGTCTGCAACTACAAACTCAGCCTCAAGTGTGGCAGGAACTTCAAAACTGGAACCCAGAAAGTCAGGAGTTGTAAATTCCTTTTGCCCATTCGCGCACTTTCGCTGGCCATTTCTTTTTTGAACGCACAAAACAGGTTGCAACCATAGAGGCCGAGATTCTCATCTTCCACGGAGCCTCAGCCGAAAGCCCTACCTCTATATCAACAGATTTCCATTTCTACACTCCCGCAGACGAACATGGAAGCTCCCAGAAAGCCTCCGCAAAATCGATCCTCCTCCCAAGTTCTGGCTTCCATGGAATCGCCTCGGGGAGGGCACCTGGAACCTGTGAAGGGGACAGCCCAGCAACAAAAAAACAAAACGACGTGATCTGTTCGTCTCACCAGAGGTTTGCATGGCAACTGCGCAATCACCGGTTCCAAGTTTCCGACTCAAACTTATGAGTCTCAAACGCAGTCTTTGCGTATGCGCCCCTAGCCCCTTGCAAAGGGCCTCGCGTCAGGGTTGGGCCATTGATAAAACGCCGAGACCTCTGAATAACAACTATCAACAAATCACCAACCTGCATTCAAGGACCAAGGAACCTTCATAAAGGTCGCAAGACCAGTTTAACGCTAGGTCCTCCAGTAGAGAGGTTAGAATAAGGGTACCCTTTTTGCAGTAGTCTATTTTAGTAGGGGAACCCTCCCTCAAAAAAGGGGAAAAGAGCACTACTGGGGGACCTAGTTCATAAAGGTCGCAAGACCAATTTGATGGCTCTATGAGCTCTGGCGCTGTCTTCTCTTTTGCCCAACCCTGCGGCTGAAGGGCCTCCCAAGGGGCCAAGAGTCGCTTTCGGGCCAGCTGCGAAGCGTCGGCCGCATAGTTGGGGCTGTGCCTGGCCTCGGGCAGGGTCTGACTGCGGGCCAATGTACTTTTCCAAGGCGCGCAAACCACCATGTGCCAACAAAAAGGGCCGTGGCGTTTGGGTTCCTTTTTGGGAAGCTTCCCACTGCGGGCTGTTTGGCACCCAAATCAGCTCAACTGCTCTGATGTAAACTTCATGCAAGGTCTCACGAACCAGGACGCGGTATGCCTAAGATTTGGCTCTGAGGAAGTCTGCAGGGGACTCCAGTTGGGGTGGGTATCCCTTGCATTTCCCTTGTAGCATCTGTAATCCTAGTGCTACCTTCCCCATTCTTTCCAGGGCTCCTTCTTTCTAGAAAACCTCCGGAAACACGGGGAAACGGCCGGTTTTAGAAAAGAACCATGGTTGAAAAGAATAGGGAATCAAACCGTTAGAGTACTAGGTGTGATCCCAACTGTTGCACCCCAATTTGGGAAGTGGCCTGGCAGGAAAGGCAATCTGTTGCGCGGTTTTTTTCATTGCCGCGAGCCGACGGCACACGGCCTGTTCTCTGGCAATGTCATGGCACCACAGAAGGACATGCAGCTCAATAGAAGGGCATGGCCAATATTATTATTATTATTACTATTATTATTATTAAGATTATTATTATTATTATTATTACTATTATTATTATTATTATTATTATTATTATTATTATTATTATTATTATTATTATTATTATTATTATTATTATTATTACTGGTATTACTGGTATTATTAGTATTATTATTATTACTATTATTATTATTATCATTATCATTATTATTGTTATTGTTATTATTAATCATTATTACTATTACTATTGTTATGATTATATTATTCTTATTATTATCATCATTGTTATTATTATTAATCAGTATTAATCAGTATTATTATTATTATTATTATTATTATTATTATTATTATTATTATCATTATGATTATTAATCATTATTATTATTATTATTATTATTATCACTATTATTATTAATCATTATTATTATTATTATTATTATATATATATATATATACTCATATATATATATATATATTTATATATTATGTATGTATACTTGTATATATATATATATATATATATGTACACACGTATTTACATTATTGCATTGGTGGAATAGCAATCCTATGACACGGATCCTCTGCTCGCAATAGATGTTTGGAAGGAAATTCCAAAAGCAAATACTCACTGCCGGACGACTCCTTCCAAGTCATCATTGGGGAGCCAATCGGAAGGCCGTCGAAAGCACAGGAACCCGCAGCACTGGCCTATGCTGACAGCTTGAGAAGCAACCATAGCCGTGGACCACATATTCTAGTCCGGCCAAAACCCCAAAAACAGTAATTGCAAAATAGACCACATCCAAGCGTCCCGTTTTTCCTCCCTTCCTCTTTGTCCCCGCCCACCCCTACTGTGGTTGGACAAAATCCTGCGCCACATACGAAACGGAATGGCAATTTCCCTGTAAGTACCAAACTAAACCACAGTTTCCAGCTTCAACTCCATGCTTTTTCTGCTTCGGTGGTGCGCATCCAGCTGACAACTTTCGTCACCCTCCACCTCCCGATTTTTGTGTTCGATCCCAAAACCTGTGACGCCCACCTTAGCCGATGAGGATGCTCTTCACGCGCATTCCCAGGCTTCCCGTGGCCGCCATCACCCCCCGCATGGAGAACCGCGACCGCACCTTCCGAAGATCGGGGCGAGTCCCGCTAAGATCCAACGGGTGGCCCGTGTGAACATGGACCAACCAGGGTACGGTTCCAACCAAGGCTCTAAACAAGTCTTGGTACCATGCTTGTGAGTCAACCATGGAAAAGAAGGGCTCGTTTTGAGTGCAAAGCATTCCGCAGATTGTCGGAAGACGTTTATCCACACAAGAGTGCCAAGGAATGAACCTTGGGTGGAATTGCCCCCGCCCCCCATTTGTTGAACCTGAGATTTGCGCAAATAGTTGATGAATGCCTTGCTAGGAACCAAAATGCCCTTGTTTCGGGAGGCATTGACTGCATTTTCACGGGAGCTAATGTTTGGTGCCACCTTGCCCGAGAAAAACAACAAACAAACGACAACAAAACAGCACATGGTTCCTATTGAAGTCCCCGAAGCCATCAGCTGGGCCTAGAACCAGCATGGTATGCGGCTGGATCCCACCGACATGTGTCCAGGCTGGAACACCCTGTCTGGCTGCGGAAAAGCAACGGCAGTCAGTCTAACACTAGCTTCCCATTTTCTTCACCCATCGTTCAGAAACCAGCCATGTACTATGCAATGTACTGCCTCTCTGCCCATTCTGTTGAAGAGAATAAGCTGTGAAGGGAATGGGAAGCTATGCCTCGGACTTAGAACCAGCGGAAGTCCGAGGCCAGTTCTACCCAAGCTGGATCCAAAACCTGGACAAACCACCCTTCCAAAGTGTGGAGCACCCCGAATCGGTCGGAGAAAAACAAAAAACACCAGCAATGCGTCCAGCACAAAAAAGAAAAAAAACTTGGAGCCACCCCACATCCCTGAAACAAAACAACAAAGAACGCCGCCGGCGGTCCGCGGTGCGTCGGCGCCTGCAGGCTGGCGCGGCTCTCGAACTTGGTGGCCACCCCCTTGCGCGAGGCGATCAGCCAGCTCATGGCCTCAGCGACGGCCAAGTTGCAACCACAACTTCTGGCGCCCGAGCGTGCAACAAGCGAAGAAACCAAGGAGCCAAGAAAGAAGAAGAAACCAAGAAACCAAGAAGAAAAGAAGAAACCAAGAAGACAAAAAAAAAGAGAAACAAGCAAAGAAACCAAGAAGACAAAAAAGAGAAACCAAGAAACAAAGAAACCAAGAAACCAAGAAACCAAGAAACCCGAAAATCAATTTACCCAAGCCACCCAACCGCCCAGCCAACCCAGCCGACCCAGCCAACCCAGCCGACCCAGCCAACCCAGCCAACCCAGCCAACCCAGCCAACAACAAAAACACCACCACCATCACCAACAACAACAACAACGACGACGACGACGACGACGACGATGACGACGACGACAACACCCAGCCAACCCAGCCACCAGCCAGCCAGCAAACAAACAAACAAACAAACAAACAAACAAACACATACATACACAAATACGCCAATACACAAACAAAACAAACAGTGGCTTCTAACAAATCGCCAATCGACAAGATCGACAAGAGCTTCTAAACCTGCGAACAGAACTTTCATCACACAAACTGACAACTCCGAATGCCTTGTCCGGGTCATTCTCCATGGATTCAATCCCACTCCGCCACCTCTCTGGAAGCCAAAAAGGACACCACCCATCATCATGAATTTCGGTTGGGCGGGTTAGGAGAGGGCCTCTCCATGTGGTGAAACCAGGGGGTCCGAGTGGCACCTCAAGCCGAAACACCGAAAACAGACATCCCGACGTCCCGCCTGCAGGATGGTCAGGGCCGCTGCGGTGCCGGGGTTCAACTCGGTGAGGAACCTTGCAGCCCCCGCAGCTTGGTTGACGTTGGAAGGGGAGAAAAATTCTCAAATTTTAGCAGTTCAGCAGTTGGATTTCAACCACTAAACCACAACAATCAAAAATGTAAAATGTTTCCCAACAACAACCATGATAGGGGGGGTGTTCCCCTCCACAGGTGGTCTGAATCCCCACTAAACTCAGGGATAAGCACCCCCCCTATTAAGGAGCATGGCGTCAGCATTGGACATCAAGGCACATTCTTTGCCCCAACATGGGGTTTTGGTGAACCCTTTTCCCCGATGACAAGGATTTCTTGTAAACCAAGGGACAATTCCCCAATGACATGGGATTTTGGTGAAGCCCCATGTCCATGTGAACATTTGGTGTACCCAATATCATTCTCTCACCTCATTGTGGATATGGGATTTTGGTGAACCCCCATGTCGCGAACATTTGGTGTACCCAATATCATTATCTTGCCGATGTTGAGTATTGACCGGTGCTGAAACAAACAGAGAGGCGGCATCTCTTCCAGTCAAGTGGTCCATTTGTACCTTTCTGGGGATCTGCCATGGCCCAAATCGAGTCGACACTGGGACCGTTCAAACAAAGGACCACCCTGCTCCAATCAGGCGGGGTGATTTCTTGTCGAATCCCGCGACTGATTGGGAGGAAAAGCAAGTGACTATGCGTGACACCACTTTTGTCAGTGCGGTATGTCAGTGTGTTATGGTGTTTCCCAGAATAGCGAACCTCCGGGGGAAAAAAAACACAGAGAAAAACAAAACATGGTGTTCAATTGCGTGCAATCTTGGGATGGCCGTTGATGGTGATCACAACTGTACATCCCCCATCCAGTGTGCCTGATGTCCCTGCTAGCCTAGCGACAGCCCTCTGGCAATCCCCTTGGGTAAACAGTGTGGAGTTGTTCTTCAGTGGGTACCACGGGGAAACTAACGGAAACCCACCAATGTGGGAGGATAATGCTTGTGGAATGATAGCAATGAGGGCAAACTACTACTGATGCTCAGCTCTGCGGCACAATGAAAGCTTACTCTGCTTCAATTGAAGCACCGCACCAAACAAACCAGGGTGGAAAGCCCTAGTTCTTCCTGAACTAAACCCTGGCCGGAGCAAGTAAACAGAGTGCATGATGCCGAAGTTGCAGGCGGAGACTGCTGTTTCAATTCCCGGATCCCACAAGGGGAACGGCAGGAAGTAGTTCAAATAAGGGGACAAATGTATACATATATGGGGGGATCAAGTAGTCCGGTGCAGAACCGCACAACCCCATGCCAATGTAGGCCCTTCTACTTACTTCCTGCGTAAATCGACAAAAAAAGAAGTCTGACCGTGCTCTTTACCACAAACTGGTCCAAGCCCAAAAAGTGACTACAGTCAAAAACAAAACTCAGGAAGTGAGTACTCCTATATCTCCACCACGTAGCCTACATGCCAACCAAGGTATGTATATTCCCACCCTCTTCTCATCACGCAGCCAAGGTGTCCCGAAAAAAAGATACGAGAGGACAATGTGCATTTCGCCTAGGCGCTAGCGCGGGCACATGCAGCACACCCTGGTTGTTGCAGTGTTTTAGCAAGCGTGGGAGCTTCAAATCACATCGCTGGGAGCGCCCGCCATGTAAAAACCGGCCATGCCAATGTCTCATTATATATATATATATATATTTCTGGGTGTGGCTCAAAATTAAACAGGAGGGGTTACGCAGGTTTTGGTCCATGTTTCCACTTACCAGGGTTCCATTTTGGTACCGGTTTTTTGAGCCACAGCCATATATATATATATACCATGCCCTCAAGGCACGTGATCACGCCGGCCACCGCAATGGCCGCGGCGGAGTTGAAGGGCAGCAAGGCGCCTGAGGCGAGATTGGAACACGGCAGGTTGGAGCAGAAGTGCAAAAATTCATGGATTGTTTGTTTGGCTTGGTTGGTTGGCTGTTTGTTTGGTGGTGTGTTTGTTTGTTTGTTTTGCTGTGTTTGCTTGTTTGCTTGTTTGCTTGTTTGCTTCTTTGTTAATTAGTTTGTTTGTTTGATTGTTTGCTTGCTTGCTTGCTTGCTTGCTTGTTTGTTTGTTTGATTGTTTGATTGTTTGTTTGCTTGCTTGCTTGCTTGCTTGTTTGTTTTTGTTTGTTTGTTTGTTTGTTTGTTTGTTTGGTTGTTTGTTTGTTTGTTTTAAACGGCCGCCAGGAGGAACTCCTGTGTCGACTCAAATGAGTCACAATCAAAACCTGGTACAAAAATGGTGAACCCAGAACCATGTAAAGAATTAGAAAGGCGGCCGCAACTATTTCCGGCTGGGTCTTTCCCTGACTAACCTTTCTCTACCCAGGTTTTGATTGTGGCTCAAATGGGCTTGCAGCTCAGCCTTTGGACCATCGGGGGAGAAGCCGTGCATGCCGTGCAAGGCAAGTACGGTATCCAAATCTGCCGAGAAAAAACGGTCCAAACAAAACCGGAAAAATCAACGAAAAAAAAACCGGGCGGAAACAAATGCAACCAAAAAGGGGGGGGGGGAAAAAGAAACAAACGGTCCAAACTTGATGGACCCAGCACAAATGAGTTAGGTGAACCCGATTGTGCACAGTTGAAAACTAAGCTTTTTGCAGACTGAGTTGGGCAATGAAAAGGAAATCCGCCTCAAATCGAAATGAGAGGCCGGGTGGGTCCCTTCCAATTAGGTCTCAACAGCGCCCTTAACAACCGACACAGCAAGTTAAACAGACTCCCCGCCCTCCAGTGGTTTGCAGTGATACAGGGGGGCTAAATAATTACTCTTCTCCTCTTCTCCTCTTCTCCTCTTCTGATCATGACTTAACTTGGCTTCAAAGCATGCCACAACCCAGTCGAATTACTCTGGTCCTTCTGGTAGTCACCTCTGCAAATGATTGTTGCCAGGTTGGCTTTACCAGACATTCTGCCACTAACCCAAAGGCTGCCACTAACCCGTCGGTCACACCCCATGTCACCGGCCCGCAAGATGCGCAAGCATGGAAACCCGCGGACCGAAAAGGAACACAAAGTTTTCCCCCCCCATCCACCCGCAAAAAAGGCGCTCACCCCTCCCTCGAAGCGAGTTGTGAGAACCTCTCGGGCAATGCATCTTGTCTTTGGGTTTGATAGCTTTAGCATGTGAAGGTATTATTTTTTTTTTTTTTTTTTTTTTTTATCAGGGTCCCCTAATTGAATTTCAGACCCATTTGCGTGAGGGATGTTTACATGGAAAAGTCTGTCCACCAACCATGTTTTAAGGGTGGTCTCAAGTAATGGAAACCCACGATTCATGATACCCCTGGTGCAGTGAAAACACCCACCGAACAATCCACCAGGTTCATCAATCCCGACATTAAGAATCACGACCAAATGGGCATGTGCCAAGATTGGGGAGCTCCAGAATCTCGGCCAAATGGGTATGTGCCAAAATAGCGGGACCCCAAAAGGGGGGGGGAGTTCTGTCGGTTTCCCAATCGACCCCCGTACCCTTCACAGGCCGCAGACCTTGCTGCTCCGCTCGGTTGGCAAAGGCTTCACACAGAGAGGCCGCGCGCCTTGGTGGCGACATGTGAGTCAAAACCAAAACCTGGTACTAAAATGGTCTACTCAGAACCATGTAAAGAATTAAGAAGGCGGCCACAACTATTTCTGGCTGGGACTGTCCCTTACTAACATTCATCTACCCAGGTTTTGATTGTGGTTCATGTGGCGACCAAAGGCCTGCTGAAAAAACAAATGGAAAACCTCAGTGCATGGGCTCCCAGTTATTTTGCGATTGACACCACCAAAGAAAGGGTTCTCTCAAAAGGAAAAAAAAAAAACCTCGGCGAATCACCGTGGCACTGTGGCACTTCAACTTACCGTCATTCTCTGGAGGAAGCTCCTTTGAGCGATTCTGGTTGGGCTCCAAGTTAGCCGGCAATGGGTGTGCAGGTCTCATCACGCCCCAGAAATATTGCAACAACATGTTCTGCACCATTCGGGTTGGGGGGCCATATTTGGGTGGACATGAACAGGTTCTAACACATGGTTCCAGGACATGACAGTGAGTGCCTTTTCGTGCACGCCGAGCATTGTGCCCAATTGCAAGCCCCGTCCTCGCGATCAGGATGAAACGACGCATAAGTGCGCCTATGCGAGCACGTGTGCGTGTGCGTGTAAATTTCCGTGTGCTTACCCCACCCCCACCCGGAAAGGCATTGGAAAGGGTTCGTATAAAAGTATCCAGAATGCTCTGCGCCGCTAGTGGCGGCGTGAGTTTTTGCGCGGTTGCTTTCGGGTTGGTTTAGGGCTTGATTGGGTAAGTTTAGGGTTGGTTTAGGGCTGACTGAGAGTGGGTTTAGGGCGGGTTTAAGGTTTCTTTGGGCTTTCTTGGCGGGTTCAGGATGGTCTTAGGGTGGGTTCAGGTGTGGCTTCAGGTTGGTTCCGGTGTGGTTTAGGGTCAGTTTTGCGCTTGGGTTTAGGGTCAAAGCCGCCAAAAGCCACGAAGCCCAGCAGGCGGGCTCTTGAAACGTGGCTGAGCCGCAAAAAACGCCAGGGAAGAACGCAAATTCGAACACCAACTAGGTCCTCCAGCAGAGAGGTTAGAATAAGGTTCCCTTTTTTCTGTAGTCAGTTTTAGTAAGGGAACCCTCCCCCCCAAAAAAGAACCGCAATGGAATAACTACGCGGCGCCATTAGAAACACCAACCTGCTGGCGGTGCTCAGAGTGTTGCTTGCTGGGCGCGCTGATGTTGAAAGGCAAATGCCAAGCCACAAAAGCCGCCACAAGCCGCAGAGACCAAAAAGCCGCAAGAGCCAGCAAAAACCCCGCCAAACAACAAATGCAACATCCAGAAAACAATGCAAGCCAGCGCTGACGTGTAAACAAAAGCCGAAGAAGGCAAGTGCCAAACCAGGCCCCCACCCCCATCACACCCCCACCCCCACCCCCACCACCACCCCCCCCAAACCGCCCCGACGTCAAGCTCCCACCGAGCGTCTTGCACGAGGCCTGGATTCGCTCTGCCTTGCAAGAGGCCCGCTCCGCCTGCAGCATCAGCAGAGCTACCACCTCGCGTGCAGGTCTGGGGGAGGCGGGGGTTACAACAAACAGATTGCTTCCCAAAGACGTTTTTCCTCCAAAAGAGGAAGATTCCCAAAAGTATCCCAATGGCCAGATCAACCCGCCAACAAAAGGCCTGAAAAAACCCGAAGTGATCCCACAACCCGCCTCAAAAAACCCAACTGATCCCACAGCCCGTCTCAAAAGCCCAAGTTATTCGCAAAAGACTAACCGCCAAAGACTAACCCCCCCCCCAAACAACAAAAAACAAAACAAGAAGAAGGAGAGATTCCTTTGTATCACCACCCCCTCTTTTTTTAACTGGGAAGGTTCCCTTGTAATTCTCACAGCGGTTTGATAAACCGCGAGTGATCCACCAGAACCCCCCACTGACCCAACCAAAAATCGCGTGGCCGAAACCTCCGCGCGATCCACTCAGCGAGGGCCACTTGGCCGAGGGGCCAGCGCCGCCGCGCCGGTGCAACCCACCACCTTCTCTGCCAGCTCTTCCCGTCCAGGCAGCGGCAGCACCATGAACCTGACGGTGGGTGGTGGGATGGGGTGGATGGGAGGTGGATGGGACTCCCTTTCAAGGACTGGGTTCCCTCGATTCTGCCGGAGTTCGGACCTTCTGGACATGCTGGACATTTACATTTTGTGCGAGCTACAAGAAAAGGCAGCAAAGCCGCGCGTGGTTCAACGGACCATGACATGTTCTGAAAATGTGCGCGTTGCCGGTATGGCCTGCCAGAAGTCCGATGGTACTGCAGAATCTTCGAGTGTACGCGCATTCATATTGGTCCTCAATATCCCAAGGGTCTGCGGACTGCCATTCATGGGATCGACAAACAAACTTGATTCAATCCTGGAATGCTTGTATATCATTCCAGATGCGGGAATCCTCCAAATGGGCGGTTTCCCTCTTTGAATTTCCTTTTGGACCACCCCAAAATGAGAACTCTCAAGCAAAGACACACTCACATCAACACCCGATTGCGAGCGAATTGGGAAAGAAGCCCCCCAAAATGTAAGTCCGAGAAGCCCTCAGATCTAAAATCACTTGGGAGCCATACCATCTGCCCCCCCCACACGGCTTCTCCGCTTCCGGGCCCCCGGCAAAATCGAAGGCAGGACCGCCGCGCCGATGACCACACACCGCCTCAAGTTGGATCGGGCTGGTGGACCCAAGGGTTGTAGCCACCTTCACGTGCGCTCAACCTCTGAGATGGTGCCCAACACCATGCACGAGTTGGCAACCTATTGGCTGCCTATGAAACATCTGTTGAAGTGTGCAGTGCATATGCTGACATACTGTGGATGGACGAAATCCTGCACCACCTAAGAAACTAGGAATGATGATTCCCCTGTAAATACCAACAAACCATGGTTCCCCATTCTTTCTTGGTGGTGCAGGAGTTTGTCCATCCACAGTATGTATATATATATATATACATATATATATATATATCATGTGTTGTAGTGCCCATGTGAGTTGTGTTAGAGTAGGTGGCTGATGGACAACATCGCTGATGGACAACATCCACGCACCAGCGTATAGGTGACTTATCCCAGTAGGGAGTCATCCATTCCAAGTGGAGCCTGGACTTTGCTCAAAAGTATGTGTTTCGAGGGCATCTGACAGATTCGGAAACCAAGCTGGCACGCAGCATTCTATCACGAAAACTGGTCAATGGGGAACATGTCAACTGCACATTGTATGTGGGTGTCTGATTTTAAGGGGAAGCCTCCCCGTTTGATGGGTGTGTAAAGGAAAATCAAACAATAGCATCACAGTGCGGGCGATTTCTTGATTTTGAGGCTGCTTGCTGGAAGAATCTTGGAGGCGCCCTAATCTGAAGAGAACCGTACTTCAATTGGATGGATCTTGGGGGTGCCTCAATTAGCAGAATGAACAACAGCTGTTTCTGAATGGGCCATTCCTTCCTTTGTTCAGATTCTGTTTCATATCGTCTATTATACAACAATTCATCTTGAAAGAAAACTTCATGCCAGTTGTTAGTCTCCCCCCCCCCCCCAGATTTTCCCTTGTTCGTCATTTAATCATTCCCCCCCCCAAGAAAAAAACAACAACAACAACGTCCCCCCCACTCCGAACCCCCCCATTCCCCCACTCATTCCCCGATTTTCCGCATGCGGAGCACTGGAACTTGGAGATGGGCAGATGTCCGCCGCCGGTGTCCACCGCCACGGGGGAGGTCTGAGTGATGCCCCGCAGCGTGTCCTCGTTGAAGTTGTCCGCCGCGATCTTCCTCGACGCGACACCGCCATCCGAGCGATCCGATCGAAGGCGGGGCTGAGAAACCGCTCTTTGGGGGATCTGGGGACAAAGGAATCTGTATACAGCAAAAATCGGTAATTCGAGCGTTGTTTTCTCGTACCTAAAAAAAAGGGCACGTTGGGTGCCTCAGGTACATGTAGAAATACAGATTTGCTTGTTTTTCTTTTTTTCTTCCTCACTTGCTTATGGACATAGTTGTCGAATTATGTCCTGATTCATTCATTACCGTTATCTATGCTCGAGGCATCTACTATCAGACTTTCCAACAGGTCATCTACAAAGCCGAAGCTAGAAGGGAAGAAATGGTCCCCTGATCTCGTCCCTTCGCCCATTCGTTCACCAAAAAACCCGCCTTACCCTTCCAACATGAAAGCTGGCCGGGTGTCTTTGGAATGGCCCAAAGGGAGCTCCAGTCAGGCTTCACGGCATGCGAGGGATAAAAACAACCTGCTTCTGGTTCTTCTGGGCTCGAACATATTTGCAGCCAACCCTGAAGATCCCTTTTGCTCTTGACCCTTCTTGGTGTATGGGGACCCTAGGTCCTCCAGGGATGTGAAAAATCCATCCCACTTGGCCCCGCTTGCCATGGAAAGATAATTGCTTTGGGGTTGGTTTGGGCCGTTGCTTCAGGGTTTCCTCGAATTCCCTGTTTGGAACTTCCCAAAGTGGCGATCGTTTCAATGGACACCGCCAGTTAATTGATCAACTGTTGCCTTGGGGAAATCCTGTAATCCCTGTTTTGTTTGGGGCATGGTACCGGGTCGATATTTGGTACCATCTTGCCATCCATTTTGAGTGGAACATGTTACTTTGGGAAAACATCATCGACTTTTCAGGGCAGCTTTTTTCGCTTTGACGGGACACCAACAGGTTTCCGGCTACTTGTTTTCGTTTGGTTGGGGGGGGTCAACATAAAAAAAAAAACAACGACGCACCCAAGCAAAAAAAAACGGTGAGTTGAAGGGGAAATCTTTCAACGGAAATTACCAGTAACTTGATCAACTTTGGAGGGGTCCCTCCAATTTCCAAATTGTTGGTTCACCTCCAAAAAGTGGAACTTGATTGAATAAAACGGACACCGACACCGGCAAGTTGATCCACCTTTGACCTTTGGGGAAATCCATGATTCCGCAAATGTTAAAAACTCCCAATAGCTGAACATTTACAAGATTTGGATTCCCCAATCTTAAAAAAAACCCTATACCTCATGCCCCAGGTACAAACATCCCTTCATCGTGGCTCGTACCCCATCTCCAAAGCCGCAAGCTCGGCGTCCCCTCCCCCGCTCGCCGCTGGCCGCCCGCTTGCGAGCCGCTTCACCGAGGCCGCCCACTCCCGGACCTGCAGCAGGCGCCGGGCCGCCAGCGCGCAGGTGGCGATGGAGGCGAAGGCCAAGGCGAACTGCGCGACCTCTTGGAGCGCTTGGAGCTTGGGATACCTCGATAGATTCGTCGCATTTGGCGGGTGTGGTGAATGGGAGTTGGGTTCTGAAGATGGGTTCTTGGAGCGCCTTTGGGATACCTCGATGGACTCGTCGATCCCTCGGGCGGGGGGTGGTGAATGGGGGGGGTTTTCAAGATGGGGCGGTTCTGGGGGGGGAGGCTTGGGATACCTCGCTCGACCGACAAATTTGGCGTGTGGAGGTTCGGGGCTTTGGGGCTTTGGGGCGGGTGGAGGTTCTACCTCGGGCTTGGTCCGCGGAAACTGGTGCGGTGAATGGGTGAGGGGGGCGTGGGTTCGGAGACCTAGGGCTCAGAAACTTAAGAAATGGAATAGGTGGAGGGTTCTCAGGATGTGGGGCTGGTGGTGAAGGTATAGGGCTTAATCAAATCCGGGGTCCAAGGCTGTCCGTGTCCGAATCAAAGCCAACCACTAAACCAGCTGGAACTCTAAAAAGACAAGGGGGCTGAGAACCACCACGAAGAAATGGGGCGGCCCTCAAGATGTGGGGCCTCTGGTGGGAAACTACCGTTTTGTTTTTACAAAAGCATATGGCTTGGTTCAATTAGGGGTCTCTTCTTTTCAAAAATGCCGAACTGGGTATCTGTCCAAAACTCGGGTAATTAAACCAAGAAAACACGGGGCCGGCCGGGCTCGACTCCTAAAACATCCGGGTTTGCTAGCGGGATCACAGGAGATTGATGGCGGACCTGACTTCATCCAGTTCAGAGCCATGGAGCAATTGCTGAGCTGGTGACGAAAAAATTCGGGGCCATCAACCATCGACTCCCATTGCTATGTCTCATCAGTACTGGATGACTGGGAACTTGCAGACGTACCATTCGGTGTTTGGTGGGAAGGAAATGGCTCTGCGTCAAAATGGGTAACTGGACCATGGATGGAACCTGATGGAACCAAGCCCAGGACAAATCAAAGGTCAAACTTTCCAGCCTCGGAGCGCGGGGCTCGACATGCACATGCGCGCTGATAGTCAAGGTCAACTCCTATTGTGCCGTTTGGGGGACGTCAGCCTCTTCGCCCTGCCCCAGTGCCAGAGCGAGGCGCAGCGAGATGACGTTCCAGGGCGTCTTCAGCACCAATCCCTCAGTAGGGGGCCACCCATTGGTTTAAACATGTTTAAACCACTGGTTGTGATGATTCTTCCCTTGTAAAGGTGGTGTTTAAGCCATATTTTGCCCCACCCAGTCTCTCAGACCAATCACAAAACCGCGAGTCGCACAGAAAAGCCCGAACGCGGCTCCTGCCAATACAACGAAAAGGGCTCTTGCGCCTGAGCGACATGTCAAAGAGGGGAATATGTCGCTAGAAAAGCTTTGCAGTAGAAACACCAAGTTGGTGAGGTGCGTTTCTGGAAGCGGATATGGCAGTCAAAAACTGCCATGAAGGGCTGGGCCAACCTATTTGAACATTGTCCTCTGAACTCCGGAACCTCCGCCGGGTTGCTCTCATCCGACCCGATCAGCAGTCAGTTTTAATGTGGCCAGGGGAAGCTTACTGGAAACCAAGCCTTTTGGTCTGCATGCGGTTTCTTTACCTGGGAATCTTCTAACCCAACTCCCCACAACTTTCTGGTGGAAGTCGCTTCAAGGCTCGGACGAGGTTAACCAATAGCACTCACGTTTGGAAGCCAAGGGAAACCAAGCCTGTTTTGTCTACTTGCGGTTTCCCTTTACCTGGGAATCTTCTAACCCAACTCCCCACACATTTCTGGTGAACTATAATATTTCACCAACCTGAAATAAGGTGCTTGGGGGGCTGATCCCCACATAAACCGCCATTTAGGGTGAGGTCGTGTGAGGTCGTTATGATTCACCCGGACAACTTTCTGGTGGAAGTCGGTTAAAGGCTCGGACGAGGTTGACCAATAGCACTCACGTTTTAGGCCTTCAGAGGAGCGGCGCCTGCTCCGCTAGGGCTTGGTTTGGGGGATAGCCAGTAGTGATAGATTCCCTTTAAAACCAACAGGGGAAAATAAAACATATTCTTAAGCAAATGGAAGATATCCTTGTGTGGCATGTCCAATTCAGGCAGCCAAGAAGGGAGCAGTCGACGTGCCTCAGAGAACAAACTCACGCTCGTGAATATCATCCAAGCAATACGGAAGGGGCATGTGTTTTCGACAGCCGCACAAATCTCCAGCAACTTCCTCTGCGTCGATGCCTAGAGCCTGTTTGCATCAATCAGATTCATGCCAAATTAAATTAGTTTCGGCGTTTCCCCTTCTATTAGGCGCAAGTTGCTCCGCCAGAATTGCAAAAACGTGAACATATAGTTGTGTATGTCTCTTTTCCTAGATATATTACCATACACATAGGTGTCCTTTTAAAGCAAATCGATGGCCCTGGTAGATAATTAAACCACCAGGTAAACCAGGAATCGCAATCTAATTTTCAACCAAAACAGCCAAAAAGGATTTGCATACATATAACGATGACTTGTGCCTTGTACCGATTTCTGTCCGGGGCGCCAGGATGGCGTTGCAATCCGCGACGCCCACCATGCCCAGGAGGTAGGCTTTCCACAGGGAGGTGATGGACACCAGCTCCTAGCGAGCTCGCAGAAATGCCCCAGGGACTGGGGGAACGCGGGGGGGGGGTCCTTGTGATGGGAAAGGTCTCCTTATCTTGCTGGGTTTCCGGTATTGCATTTTGAAAGTGGTTGGCATTCTGATTCTAAGAGAAAGAGAGAGAGAGAGAGAGAGTGAGAGAGAGAGGGAGAGGAACAGGAGAGCGAGAGAGTCAGAGAGAGAGAGAGAGAGAGAGAGACAGAGAGAGAGAGAGAGAGAGAGAGAGAGAGAGAGAGAGAGAGAGAGAGAGGGAGAGGGACAGGAGAGCGAGAGAGAGAGAGAGAGAGAGAGAGAGCGAGAGAAGGTGGCAGGGCCCGCGCGAACGCGCCGCGAAAGAGAAGGAGCGAGAAGAAGGCACGTGAAACAGTAATCAGGGGTTGGTTCGCCCGCCCGTCTGTGCGAGCGGGCGGAGGGCGGCCAAATCTCTCCCCAGGCGCCCCTGAGCCTACCGACGCGCCGGCCCGTGACGCAGCGCCGGGGTTGCCATTCTCAAGTGAATTTCTTTTTGCCTGGGTCATGTCTAAGCGAAACATACAGGGAGCCCTGATCTGAGAAGCAAGATACCGGGGGGTCCTTCTCATGGGCGGGGTTTCGAAGCGGGCCCCCACGCCTTTGGCGACAAGAGGAAGCGCCAGAAAACTGTCAGACCGCACCCCGAACACGATCAATGCGGTTGAAGGCCACCTGGTGCAATGAACCAGACCCATTGCCATGGGAACACATGGGGCACCGATTTTGTTTGTTTTTAAAGAGCAAACCCCCGTCCAAAAAAGATACGTTGAAAAACGAGTTGTCACCTGAATATCTGGGTAGACCATTGGATCAGAATTCCTTCGCGCATCCAGCCGTTTGATCATAGGTTTCAGAAAGACACTGCAAAACTGAAGGACAATGCGGATGTTTTAAGAGAGGAAGAACGCTCCAAACATGTAGCTTTCCTTTTGGTTTCCCTTCAAACCATGGTGAAAAGGTTACCCTCCGCAAACCACGGCCATGTGAAGCCGCCCATCCAAGGCTGCAACTCTACCCATAAGCGTCTGTCTTTTTTGAAGGTTCCAATTTGGTGGTGGTTTTAAAGAAAACCAAAGGGAAACCACGATTTTGCGATTTGTGTTTTTAGGGAGATCCGCTGAAAAAAGACACAGCCATATGTCTGGGTTGAGGAAAAGACAAACGAGCCCACCGAAAGTGCAACAAGAGGAAGCCTCACAAAAGCTAAGGTCAAGTTGGACCTTCACTGGTATACAGATGCCTGGTGTAAAGATTGTCGTAAGGTCACTGTGGTTGGGTATGTATGTCTCAAATGGATCCCCCCCCTCAAATGCTTGGCGTCCTTCTGATGCGTGTGTTTCCTTTGAAACTCCCAAAAAGGGCACCAAAACTACAAACACTATTCCAACTACAACAGAAACACACACAACGACGCAAAGACACGAAGACACAAAGACGTTCGTTTCTGGGTTTTATTGCCAGACGCCAGCGATTACCAACATCAAATACCGCGTTACGCGTCCTCCATTGTGGACATCTGCTCGTTGATCTGCGCCGCGTGCACTTTGGCCTGCGCCACCGAGGACCTGTGAGCGTTTTGGCTTTGGCCATGACATGAGACGCGCCCTCCCAAATTGACTTCAGGGTATGGGTGGGGGGAGGGATGGTGTATGGTGGTATGGTGGTATGGTGGTATGGTGGTATGGTGGTATGGTGGTATGGTGGTGTGGTGGTATGGTGGTATGGTGGTATGATGGTATGGTGGTATGGTGGTATGGTGGTGGGGGGTCTGGTGGGGAGGGGGTATGGCGGGGAGAGGCTCCCACAGTGTTTGTTTTGTCAAAGACCAGAAAAGAACGACATGTGCCTTGGAACGCAAGCGACACGCAACTTGGACACCTGGATTCGAGTCACCTTCAGTGGAACTTACAAAATAAGCTCCAGTAGAGAGGTTAGAACAAGGGTACCCCTTTTTCCTGTAGTCTATTTAGTAGGGGAACCCTCCCCCCCAAAAGGAAACGGTCAAAGCGCACCTAGCTGGGGACCTGCATGGCCCCGGGGTCTGCGGACCCTGACTGTCAAGGAATCTGGCTGGCTTCGGCTCCGGCGCTTCGGGCCATCGCAGGGGGTTTGGACCAGTGGAAGACGTGTTGGACAGAAATGCTCCGGCAGGCGGCTGGTAGAACCGGGAACTTCTTAGATTTCGGGCGGCGGTTCCATGTGGGTTGCGAACCCGAACAGGAAAGGGGTTCGAATCCGATTCAAAGGCTGGCACCAAGGTTTCAGACTTCCCTTAGAAGCGCTACTAGCAGACTTTTCTTAGGAGCGCTACTAGCAGCTGGACCGCAAAAACATGTTTTGTTTTGGGGCGCGACTCTAAAAAACTGAAAACCCTCTTATCTACACGATTTATCTGGCTTTGCCTGAAAATGGGTGGTTCCTTTTTGGTTTCGTTTTCATGTGGCTAGTAGCTCGACTATTGCGGGAAGCTAAGGATTAAGGGCCACAACCTCCGGATGGCTCCCCTTTCGGCTCGTCAATATACCCATGATTGGAAGGACATCTGAATCAAAAAAGGCGCAGGTGAATCACCTAACGGAATCCCCTCTGAAGTCGGCTCTATGATAGCATTACGAAAGAAGGGCAGAAAGAAAGTACCGTGTTTCTCTTGTCTCAATCCTTTTAGAGTGACTTCATCCTCTAGGAGCCAGCAATCGCAGGAAACATGCAAATGAGGTCAGTTACTTTCCACATCATTCCACACATTGAACCACTGCTCAGATGCCCAGTGGCCATGGGAAACAAGGGCACCCTTTTCTTGGGAACCCTTACCCAGAAAAGGAAAAAACGGGCACCACCGGGCAACAGATACTGCGTAGGCCGGCCATGAATCTGCTTAAGGCAAGAATGTCCAGAGCCCCAAGATGCAAACCCAAGCCCTTGCTCTTCAGATCTTGTCTCCGAACCCCGAAGAAAGAATTGGCTCCCCCAGTCAAGGCCCTTCATGGCGAGCGGGCTCGCCTTAAAATACCCCCTCCATTGGTATTTGTTTTCTTTTCCCGGTATTTGAACAACCAGGTTTTCCAAATGGGTAAAGCTCGAGTCTTCTTCAGTCAGATGTATTTAAAACTAAAACAGAAACTGCGGGTATTGGGTGTCGGCAGCTTTGAGCCAGGCCTGGCTTCGCTCTCGGCGATCACCACCTGAGAACATCAGATGGCCGTTTCTCATAGGCCCCCGTTCTTGCTTCGAGCTCAAAGCGGAAAACAGAAAAATCAAACCACCTGGAGTAAGAACCAGGCCAAGAAAGAGCCGGGCCATTTTGGGGAGGCCTTTTTTGGGAGGCCTTTTTTGGGAGGCCTTTTTTGGGAGGCCTTTTTTGGGAGGCCTTTTTTGGGAGGCCTTTTTGGGAGGCCCCGGAACAAATCTTGGGTACAGGATCAGGGGGTGATCCCGGTGGCATGCTTGAATGGGGAACCACCCAAAGCTCCACAACCCCTTTTCGGGGGGGCCCAATGCACCTTCTCAACCCTGAAAGATTCTTGGCCAGACCCATCCTTACAACAAAAAAACATCCTGGGGGCTGATCAATATTTTGTTCGGTCCCCAAACTTCCCCATGTAGGACATATCTTCTTGGTGGTTTCCCAACCAGTGGTCATCCCATGCCTTACGGGCCTTTTGACCACCCCCCATTCGCGGGATCTGTCTTTCATTTCCTGCGCCACCTTGCTTTCAGATCTGCTCCAAAAAAATTATCCATCTTCCCACGTCGCCTTCCTTCCGCCCCTCCCCGCAGGTTGGGCTCCCCGGCGAAGATGGTGAGGGTGGTGCCCGCCAAAGGCACGATCACCTCGGTCAGCAGCTCCGACAGCAGGAAGGGCGCGATCACGGAGGCCGCCGTCAGGATGCCCACCACCTGACCCGGGAGGGGCGGTGGTCGATCGCGGGCAGCCCCAAACTGGCCCCATGATTTTACCTCTATCACAGTCACCGCCCACCCCAGTTGCTGACTTTGATAACTAGACACAGTCAAAACTTTGACCCCGGCCAAAATGGGGAAAGGGAAACATGGAATAAAACCTGTGGTCACCGATGGAACCGCCAAAACGGATCTCCCAAAATCTCACCAAACCTGAGTAGACGGGAACCCAAACTTTGTATTTACCACACAAATGGTCCAACCCCCCAAAGTTGTTGAAGTCCATGAACTCAGGAAGTGCGCGGAAGCGGTCCCCGTTCCCAAGAATCATAGACTTGGAGGGGCCTTTTCAAGAGGAAGCAGACCTAGAGGGTCCAAGTACCTCCTGAGGATGGCTTTGAAAACCCCCAAAGCTTTCAGCTTGCGAAGCCGACTGGGTCCCTAAGGGGGCAAGCAGCCCAGGCAAGAAGCTGCCAAAAAGCCCGGTAGAAACGGGGGGTTTTGACACGCAAAAAACGCACACGAAAACAAACATGTGTGGTTTGTGTTTCGAGAACATCAACAAGGCCGCGTTTGGTTGCCGCGAAGAGGAGAGCAAAGATGGTTTGTCTGTCAAGGACACAAGGAAAGTGAAGGGCTGCAAACCATCCGTCAAGCAATGTGTTCTCTGAGTCCAGGAAACGCTTCTTCAGGAAGTCTGTGGACCCAACCAAACCCGACCCATGGGCCGCCAAATCCGCTTCGCTTTCGGCATCGAGGCGCCGAGCCCACGCGGGCCCAGTTGGGGTCGTTGCCCCGCACGGTGACGCGCAGCTCCTCGAGGTCCGCCTGCACTCGCCGCACCACCTGGCGCTCGCTTTGGGAGCGCCGGGCGCTGGGAGAGTTGGCCACCTTCTTTCGGGTGTTCTGTTGTTTCAAGAGCGTTTAGTCTGCAAAATAGATTCTACAGCGGGTGTTTGTGACAGAAGACAGGGTGTCCCAGTTTGGGAGGCTCTTTGAGCGGCTTTTGGGGAAGGAAAACGGCTTGGACTAAAATGAGAGTCCAACAAAATAAAGCTGGGGGAATCAGTCTCTGGGCGGATTTTGGACTCACACGTCCGCGCGCATCTGAAGCAGATCCGGGCAGTAGGGTTGATCTCTAGTCGCATTTTGGACTAGCACGTGGCTTGTCTTGCACCCGTCGCACTGTTGCACCCAGCTGGATCCGGACATAATGTATAAACAAGTCTGACAGCAACTTTGCTCACAACGCAAGGAAATGCTCACCCACACATGGTGCATTGCTTGGGTTCATCTCGGATGTTATTTCCATGCAACTAACATATCAATTCAAATGGCACATTTCAAACAGAGAAAGCAAGTGAGCCAACTTAAAGGGAAACCAAATGGACATCACACATTTAGGGGTTCCCGTATTCATTGTTCAGCAACGCTTCGCACCAAGTGTTGAACACATCGCGCCGTTCACCGATGCGATGTTTCACTGGAGCTCGAATGTGAGGCGAATTGATTTTGCACCTCCCCTTCCCTCCCGTTTTGCCTCTCCCTCAACAGTAACCTCCGGTGCTCGGAAACCTCTAAATGTGTGGTCTGTATGGTTTCCCTTGAAATCAACCGCAAAATGCGGTACCCCAAAAAAAACACACGCACAAACACATATGTGTATACATACAATATATAAAATTACCCGGACCTTCCGACCATGTAAAATTGAAGCCGTTTCCCTTAACATCGGAGAAAAACACGCTCGCCGTGAGTCCAGCTCGTGACCATGCAAAGAAAAACGCCGTGTCGCCGGCAAATTACGCTGTTTCGCGTGCAAATTGCGCCATACTCCAATTTGGAGTGGTACCAGAGTGTGCAAACACTCAATACTGCCGGCAGGCGAAAATAGTAGCCGTTGGGTACAACAAAAAATGCTTCTTCACCAAGCAGCAATCATTTTGCACATGTTGGAAGAGCCATTTTAATAAATTTATGTGTTGTTGTTGTTTTTGAATATAGTACTTTTTATACATATATATGGTCCCGTGTTCCGTGTTGCTACCCCCCCCCCCCCCCCCAATATGGTATGCACCCCGACCCCCTGAACTCGCACCCCGACACCCCGGCACCCCCACCCCCAGGACAAGCCAACCCGCCACCAACCATAAACCAACCCTAAACTAACCCTAAACCAACCCTAAATACCCTAAACCAAACCCTAAACCGTAGACCTCTAAACCTAAACCAACCCTACATCAACATAAACCAACCCTAAACTAACCCTAAACCAACCCTAAACTAACCCCAAATACACCCTAAACCAATCCCTAAACAATAAACCCTGAACCTAAACCAACCCTAAACTAACCCTGAACCAACCCTAAATACACCCTAAACCAAACCCTAAACCGACCGTACACCTCTGAACCTAAACCAACCCTAAATCAACCTAAATCAACCCTGAACCAACCCTAAACTAACCCTAAATACACCCTAAATATACCCTAAACCAATTCTAAACCAACCCTAAACCACCACAACCCAACCACAGGACCACAACCACAGGGGGGGGGGGGGTACTTGCCTGACCCATGACCATTGGGGGGGAGGGGGGGGGGGGCTGGCAACGCTGTATATATATATATGACTCTTCAAAGCACCACATTGGTGCTACTGGTACCTTAATCGCGAAACGGTGCATCCTTTACGCCGCATAAGGATTAGTGCCAAAATGGGAGGATTGCCCAGCTCCACTGGGCAGCTCCCCTCAGCAGCTGATGGGAGTAGAATTGATGCCACTCCCACAGCGAGGGAGGAATCCTCCCACCTCACCGGATGCCCTCCCGGCATCATGGGTGAGGAAGGAAAGTAGCGAAGATCAGCTTGATCAATTCGCTTTCGACTGAGGGGAAGACCCGGTTCTCAGTCGGAAATTGCGGGTCCGGATGAGTAAGTTCATCCGCCCATGTGTTAAAGTCGCGCTTCACATGCGACGGTCCTAACATGACCTGGTGGTCATGCAGTGTTAACACAATTTCCATGAGGATGGCCGCATTGGGCATCCTGCGAGTGGAATCGTTAAGCAGGGAGAAAACGTTTCCCTGGTTATCACTAGCAACCAGAATCCTAGTGTGAGAAGCCGAGCCGGCTGCACAAAGCAGAACAGCCCTCACCAAAAGGAGGAGGCCGAAGAGCTCCAAGGCCGCTATCGCCCGCTGCGGGTCCCCAGTAGTGAAGGCCCACGGCTCGCCCTCCGGTGTGATTCTGTGTTGGAACCACTTCACTCGGGACTTGTCGGGGTTGGGCACGTCCGAGCACCAACCACCAACCCATGCATGGTCCGCCTGTTTGCCAGCTCCCGCATCAGATGCCCCCGTCCATGGAAGTGTGGGAGCAAATGGAGATGCCAGTGGGAACCTCTGGTTGAAGAGCTTCCCCAGAAGGATGGCCAGAGCACGAACCAGCTTCGGTGGCCTGCCCGAAGTGGTGCAGGCCTTCTTCCAGCTCCAAAAGGGCTGGAGGAAAGGTTTCGTCAATGGACACGCCGAAGTAGCCCATTGAATCCGGCCCAGGGCTTGTTCCACCTCCTTGCTGGTAAAGATGTCCCCCTGGGCCAGCCGTTTGAGAGTGGCCAGGATTATGACGTGCTTGACTGGAGCCAGCAGCACACAGGGCGTGATTGGGTCCACCACGAATCCCAACCAGGTATTGACCGGGGAGAGCGCCGTCTTCTTCCAAGAAAGCGGGACTCCCAGCGCCAGAAGAGTGGCCAGGATGGCTGTGGCGTCCCAGTCCGCCCTGCTGCATCTGAGGACCCAGCAGTAGTCGTCCACAAAGACTAAGTGCCAGTCCACCTGAGGGAAGATGTAGTACAAGAGTCTGAGCACCAAGGATGCCTTTCTTCCCCAGTACAGTTGTGCCGAGGCCATGCCGTACGTGCCCACTCTATTGACCCACCACCGGTTCTGGATGCAGGCCACCTGGTATTTCCAGTCTTTCTGGAGCACTTTTATGCGCCTGTGGGCCTTGGTGACATCCGCCTTGAGGATGATGAAGGTTTCCCCCTGTGTCGGCGGCTGCCACGTCAGGGGTTCCCCCCTGCTCCCCCCAGGGCGTTCCGTGCCTGGGGGGGTTGGGGGGAATGGGGCCCTCCTATCAGGGCCCTCGGCACCTGGGAGTGGCCCCTTCCCTGAGGGTGTTGACCGCGGAGAGACGTCCAGGCCGCCGGAGGTCTCCATCATCCGCCTGCCCCTATCAGGGCCCTCGGCACCTGGGGGCAGGCTGGTGCTGTGGGGGTCCCTCTCAGGGCCCTCGGCACCTGGGGACTGCCCCTGCACCGGCTGGTGAACATCCCGAGGTTCCTCATCAGTGCCCGAGGATGGGGCTCGGAGTAGATGAGGATGGTCCGCCGCTGTCCTGAGCCAGTGGATGGCATGGAGGCAGTCTCCAACCATCGGTGCGGTGGTCTTCTCCTCCGTGTGAGCCTGGATGTGTGCGTTTGCTCCCCCTTTTGAGCCATCATAGATCGTCCTGATCTTGTCCGACTCATCAATCCCTGCAAGGGGGCCCGGGCAAAGTTCCTCCGGTTTGCAGCGGCACCTCTCTGCCGCCTCGGAGCGAGTGAAGGGCCCGTCCACCATGTCCAAGGCTCGTTCCTCGTAAAAGGTTGATTCGATTTCCTTGGCAAAGAGTTCAGCCGTTGGGTAGTTATCATGAGCCACTGGCGGGGGGGGATCTTCCCCCAGCCAGGCTTCTCCCTTAAGCTCCTCCTTAGTGGGCCAAACTCCCGGGGAGGTCAAGGTAGGGTCCGAGACTCCCAAGGGGACCCCCTCTTTCAGTGTTAGGGGGAACTCCCAATCAGGGTCACCTGAAAGGGATGCCAAGTGCGACACTAAGTCCAGGAGGAAGGGTTGTCCTGGGCATCGTTCATGGAGGTGCCTCGGTCCTAGGATAGCCCGCAGCTCCTCGAGGTCGGCTTCCTGGAAGGGGTGTGTGGTGGCACCTGATGCCAGGGACATTCGGACCTTGTCAATCCAGGGCCGGGTAAGGGTCATGATCAGGGTGCCCAAAGTAGCCAGTGGGGAAATTCTCCGAAAAGGGGGGTTGAGGTGTTTGTGGGGAAGGTTTTTCGCCCCCCATCTCTCAGGGGGCGTGAGCGGAAACCCAATTGGACAATCGCCACCCGGTCAGTGAGGTGTGGGACCCTGAAAGCGGGCAGGCATTCGGGGCGGTCCAGGACCTGGTCCCCCTGTCCCTCCTTCCCCAGTTGTTCCGCATCTCCGGCCATCGGGGGCATGGGAGATGGGAAGTCTGGGTTCATTGTTCCACGAGGGCTTACGGTGTCTGCCTCAGGGTGGAACTGCCCGTGCAGGCGGGGCTTCGGGGCGTTCTTGCCTCCGGGCTTTGAGCCCTGGTGTGATGAGGAGGGACCGCCTCCTTGACTGGGCCCCCGTTTTCCCCGGGGGGAATGGCCTTCCGGGGGGTCCGACCCCCGCCCCTTAGGTGGTTCCTTGGGGTTTCCCGGAAATTGTGAGGGGATCCGGATGTGCCCCGGCGCTGCGAGTGACACAGCGATGGCTTTGGCCAGGCCTGCCATCATATCCCAAGGGTATCTGCTAAGAGTCGAGGACTCGTTGGTGCCCACATGTGACTGATGCGTGCACCGCATTTGATCCCAGTCCTGGATCGGGAGATCCGTGGCCAGCGTAGTGGCCTTCTTGACCAGCTGGCCCAGGCGGCACTGGTCGAAGGAGATTGCTGTCAAGGAGTTCTCCTCCATCCAAAGCTGCCCCTCCTCTGTGATCCAGAAGGATGAGCATTCCTTGGCTTTGGGCAGCGAGCTGCTCACCACTGGGTCCTCC